CTCTGTCTAGTGACTTACATCCTGCATTTCCGTCGGCAAAATATGGAAATAAAAATCCTCCGAGAGCTTCTCCTTCCTCTCCTGATTGTACAATGCAATCGAGCCAAAAAATGGTTCTGCAGGGATGCACGAGAAATAAAGAAGGAACTTAAAGAAGCTGAAACAACTAAAATTACAGGAAACAGACAGCAGCTAATCAGAATCCTCACCAACTAAACCAGACTGAAAAGCTAGAGACAAAACTCTGACGGAGATCTTCAATCCACTGTGAAGATAACAGAAAGAACACAAGTACAAATCAGACAAAGATAATAAGATTTTTTTCAAAAAAAAAAAGATCAGGTAACATGCAAAAAAAACCTGGAATAGCTTGCTGCAGGAGATTCAGGAGTTCTCTGGCCAAATATCATAGCTCTTTCATTTTCCCAGTCAAAAGCTGGTTCATAAGCAGGTAAAGGAGGTTGCCCAAAGTGCTGCAAACAAAAAAAAAAAGCAAGAGCTTCAAAGTAAGAACCAAAGGATGAATGAGAAATATATAACAGAGCAATGAAGCGAGCACAAGAAGACACCTTAGAGGATCCAGAATCAGAAAACGGCCTCCCGGAAATACTAGCTACATCCTCCTCAATAGTTGCACTCCTAGCACTAGCAAGACGGATTTCTGAAGAAGCAGAGAGTTCATTAAAAGACGAAAATTGACAAAGGCAAAAAAAAAAAAAACAACAATGCATCCATACCAGTCTCAGTATCAGTGTCAGGTCCTTCAAAAATCTGAGTCTGGAAAGAATCAGGTCGAATATTTTCATAGTGACCATATTTATTAACATCTTTAACCCATTCAGTGCCATAGCATTGAACCAATTGATTCAAATGTGGCCATTGTTCCAGATTCTCATCAAGCTAAACAAAAAGAGAAAACACACATCAATCAATCAGGTTAACGAAACATCCTAAAAAAAAAAAAAAAACGCAAATTAAGGTTATTACCAAAGGATCGAGCTTAGGAAGAGCAACAGACTGACGAGGTATCTTACGAAATCGAAGACCAAGATTGTTGTTTTCCATTTTTCGGAGAGAAAGAGATGAGATAGATCTAAGACAATGTCAGCTACAACATTTGAGAGAGAGAATTGGGGATTTTGTGTTAAGTGTGAAAAACCTAGAAAAGGAAAAAGGACATATTGGTGAAGTAGTAGATCTGAGTGGGGGAGGTAGAGGAAGAGGAGGATGAATCTTTGTCTTTACGCAGAGAGGAAGAGATCCGTGAGAGGAAGCAGTTGGGGAAAAAGTGAAGATTACTCAAGAGGAAGCAAAAGTCGAGCTGGAGCCGTAAGTCCAACAAGAGTCCAACTCTACAGTCCTTTTTTGTGTTTTTTTTTTAAATAAAGAGTCAATCATTGGACTTTTGCTTCTTGACCTCACCTGAACCAACTTAAAGAATTGGAGTAAGTAGTAGTAACCAATTTCACCAAAACTCACTTCAATTCTCACTATACCAAACAACTATCTTCCGACACGAACAAATGCTTTGTACTAGAAAAATGGAGTTAATTTGTATACAGCAAAAGAATTTACTTGTCACACTTTATTTAAATTAGGATTGTTTTCTACGGATTCATGTTGATTCTTTTAGATAAACGTGTTCATAGTCATCGACCAGTACCTTTGGTATGTTTGAATATCTAGCCATGGTTTCAGGGTTGCCATTATAGTGTACCATTGCTGGTCCTTTTGATATCATTCATGTTCACATTCGGGTTATAATTTCTAAAAATTGATCACCTCTTGACTTGTGCCTAGAATTTTAGTCCTTGTTTTCTCGACTTGCTTTTTGATTAGTTAGAAAGTCTCTTAATTTTCTGATTTGGGCATGGGATTGTTTTCAAGATGGTAATTCATATTTGTCTTATCGGATGTTGAACTGACCATGTTATTGTTTACTCGTTTTCTTACCAAATAGGACGTTTTTGTTCGGGTTAGATTTTGCTATTTACCTGATGGTTAAACTGTCTAAGATCGAACCAAAAATTATGTTTTCCTGCAAACCTCACGATTTAACCATCCGGCAAATACCAAAATCTAACCCCAAAAAAACGTAACTTTAAGAAGTTAAAATTGTGGAATGATGGAAAATATTTAAATTATTAAGGTTTCGGGACAGAAAATAAAATTTGAACTCATTCAGGCAAGAGTCTTTTCTAAATTTTATTATTTTACAATTACCAGAACTAAAAATTCTAAAGAATACATGTTAAGTAATGGATGTCAGTAAACAAATATTTTTAGTTGACAGGCAAACTAAAAAAACACAAAATTAATGACAGAATTCCAGAATCTAAGCTTGAAAACATATGTTCAGGTACGGAATATTTTGATCTTCACCGGTTAATGACCAGTCAAATTGAACTGGTTAAAGTACCAATCAAATTAAACCGGTCGTCGTTTTTCTAATTTTCTTCAACTCGAACGGTCAGGTCCGTCTCTACCCCTAAGCAAGGTAGGCAAATGTCAAGGGTTCAATATAAATTTCAAAAAATTTCTTAAAGAAAAAAGGCCCAAAATGTTTTTTAAAAAAAATTACTTAGAGGTTTTAATTTTTTTTTTGGTTTTGCCATAGGCCTCATTATATGTTGAGACGGTACTGCTACCTCTCATGTTTCTACAAAATTTCACTTCACCACTTGTTAACTCCTCCTTTAGAGTTATAGAGACAGCTGAGAAGAAACATAATCAGGCAAAAAATAATATAAAACATGTTTTATTTCGGTAAAAAAAAGGATTTTACAAATTGAACCATAATAAAGAAGGAAAACAAAAAAGAGTAAACAAAACAATTTTTTTTTTTTTTTGGATTCTGTTTTGCCTCTGTTCTTATTTTTTAGGTAACACCACTGCATAGCAAGAATATGAATATTTATCCCTTCCTTAGGCTAAAATTTCCAGTAGAAGAGAAGCTGACACAAAGTGAAAGCTTAGATACAGATACCAAGTCCTTGATCATCCTATCTTTGGCTTCAGAATCGATGCACAGTGGAGAGAAAGTGGCTGTCTTCAAACGAGTAGCATTCTTTAAGACATACGTAACCATCTCTATATCTCCTCGTCTTCCTTTGTAACCGCTCCACGCAAAAGTTTCAAGACTGTTGGGAACAGAACTCGGCGGCTTCCAGCAATTCGGAGTTTCTTCGCTAGGAAATTCAAGCTCATGTTCATCCATGAGTTTGAGAGATGCTAGTTTGGGAGAACTTTGGAGCATCTGGTTGAGAAGCTCCGACCAACCTTGCGCACATGTATTTAGCTCGAGATGAACAAGCCGGTAGAAGTGGATGATCATACTAGGAACCTCCGAAAGTAGTGAAACACATAGGTGAAGGCGGCGGGCAGAAGCAAGAGCTCTCAGAAACCTGTGGGTTACTCCTTGAGTGATGTCAACATGTGCTGCCATCAAATTAGGCATATTCTCGATTCGGCGGGAGTCGTAAGCAACATCATCGACAATCTTAAGGTACTTGAGACAAGGAGCTTCTATCACATGCACACCACCCTTACTTTCGTTTCTTACGTCGTACAACTCCAATATCCGTAAAGAAGCAGGCGCGGCGACAGTGATGTCGACCTCTCTCTGGTCTTCTATCACCTTCAATATAAGTAATACGAGATTAGGACAACCGGGTAAAAGCTTAGGAAGAGATGTGTAATCCACATCGGTAAGGCCCAACCTCTCCAGGGACGGGAGAAAACAGGGAACATCCGAAACAAGGCAACGTGCAAGCCCCAAGGCCTCTAGTGTTTCACATGTGAATAGGCTACTCGGCAAACTGACCGGCCCTGATTCTGTCCTCATATTGACTATGAGCTCGCGCAGGCAGTGAGAAACCGCAGTATTAATCCATATCTCAACGTCTAGGGCGTGACACTTAGGACCTAGCGTGAGACTCAAATTCTCTAGAACAGGGGCCTTGTTTGAAAGCAAAGTCTTGTAAACAAACTGCGAGAAGCGCTTATAGTCATTCTGATAATTGCTATCATCAAACTCAAGTCTCGAAACTAGATTCCAAAGAGACCGCCATCTTGTCGACACACAGCTCATGGCCAGGACGTCTGTTGTCGGAACAAGCGACAGTATTCTAAAGATCAAATCTTCTGAAAGTTGACTGATCATGTCCATCTTCGAATTAAGCCGCAACACCAACGATGAAGAACAAAAAAAAAAGAGATGAGCTCTTGAGAGAACGTATAAAGCCAAGGCGTTGAGACAAGTTAGGAAACAATCTATTCAGTTGCTTGTTTCTCAAGCTTTCTCGTTTCTTCTTCTGAATTGATCGTTTCGTTAATCAATCAAGGTCGATGATACCCGTCCATATATATAAAAACACACTTGAAAAGAAAAAAGGAAACTAGCTTCGAAAGAGAAAAATGAGTGAAAACCTTTTAAAATAATGGAAATCATTTAGTCCCTCCCTCCCTTTTAAGAAAAGCTAAAAAGAAAAAATTGATTTATAGCTAAAAAGAGGAAATACCTCTTCAAAAAGGAAATTGATTTATATACCTAAAAAGGCCAAAAAATGAAACTGAAATATATATTACCTCATATTATCTAAACCAAGTCTGAGACAACAACCACAAGAATGCAGTTTGAGGTTCTTGCTAAGATTGATTTAGAGAAAGTTATCCCAGAGAACGTAATGCGAGTTGATCTGATATCATTGGAGGATACGATTACGCAAAATCTGATTTCTGGATACCTGCTGTGATGTGGACAAAATGTCAAAACTATGGGAACTAAACTGAAAAATATGACATTATTATTTATAGCATGTCACCAAGAAAGGTATGGTTTCAACTTTCAAGCTTCTGTCTCCTTTGAGCAAAGGAGCTTTCGGAGGAAATGAATTGAACTTGAAAAGTGGTTTTCATTATATCATAGTTCCCTTTTGTATTTGTTACCAAAATTCAATGCCAAACAAGTTTTCAGGTACGATTAGATTGGTGAGAACCGACTGTAAGAACAAAGTTTATACACATTGAAGGATATCATAATCTCTTAATGCCGAGTAAAAGAATCAACTTGCACACTCCAACTGATAAGATAAACCGCACAAGTTTGCGGATACAAACCTGTGAAGAGGTACTGCGGTTTTCAAAACGTAGTTGTTAAAAATAAAGAGGAGGGTTGTAATAGATTAATGGAGAAGAAGATAGAATCAAGTATGAATGATCTTCCAAAGGTTTTGGTCTTTCTTCACATCCCTGATCATCTATCCAGCTCACTAGGAGTATCTGTCACTATAGTGTGAAATACAAAATTTGGAAACGTCTTCGTTACGTCTCTACACAAACACAAAAACCTAGTTAGTCCAGCCCTATATCGAAGAAGATAATAAGGCAAAGAAATGGCTTACTTGAGATGTTGAAGGCTCATGTTCTGCAACAGAGAAGGATGGCGCAACACAAGACTCCGCCACTCTTCCTTATCAATCTTCCCATCCAGTTTAGTATCAGCTTCTTCAAATGTCTACACACCAATCAGTTTTTGCCTCTCATGTAAAAGAATAAGTATGAGAATTAAGCCTAGTCAGTGCCAATGGAGATCAACCAAACCCACCTTGTCTATGATGCTCTCGATCACATGATCAGAAAGGTTCATGCCAGATTCAGCTAGAGTCCGCACAACCATTTGCTTCACCTCCTGTCTCTTTATATAACCTTGCTGCTTCAGATCATACAGCTTGAAAGAGACTACAGAAGAGAAAGATGAGCATGACAAGGTTTGGATATGACAAAAACAACAAAAAAAGGTCAAGCCTACCACTTACACTCAATCTTATCCTCAAATTTAGCATTGGGGTGAAAGACCGAAAGAGAACGAGCAAAGGCTTCAAAATCTAGAATCCCAGTATGCTTGGTATCAAACAAGTCAAACACCTACAAAGCTTGAATATGAGTGTACAGCAAGGAAACCCAGATAAGTGAGTTACAAAGTCTATTTAATTTACCCTATCAGCAAAAAGGCTTCTCGTTGTATTCATCTTGAATAATACCAATTGAAATTGTTCCTGCAATATATTAGAAAGGATCCTAGTGAATGTAGAGTAGCACAAAGACAGAGTACTAAGAACTGACGATGGATTCTGGTGTACCTTATCGATAAGCCCGTCTTTGCTAATGCTCTTGAACAGTTCGTAAAGAGCTTCAATCTCATTGACAGTAACTGCATTTGGTACATAAAGTCATTGTTGGGGTTGTGAGAATCAAAAACAGTAAAGTAAATGTAAGAGTAGACACATACACACAGTGCCTCTAGCCACATCTTTAGGGTTCTGACGACCCTTGGGACGATCAGAATCACAACAAGTCAACAGAATTAAGGATAAGTGCTTTATTCCATCTAAACATTGCATCATCATCTCTCCCAAAACTCACTATTTCCATGCCTAAACCACAAATACGGAAAAAAAAATGGTTAAATTCCATTGAATATCAACAGAAACCCTCTACAGTTTTGCACCGAGAAAAGAAAAAAATTCAAGAATCGAACATAAATTAGCCGATCCAATGCAGACATCAAATGAATCTAGTTTTGACTTTTTGAGAGAAGAGAAGATGATGGACCAAGAAATATACCTTTTCTTTTTTCCTCGTTAGCGTGTAAAGAAGCTTCAGATAATACGACTTGTTCCAAGAGATTTTCTTTTTTGACCACGATCTGATATTTCTCTCTCAATAAAAGGTGTTTGTTGGCTGCTGAGACATGGGAAAGGATCTACAAGTTCGTTGGCATAAATAAGTCAACTCTTAGTTGGTGACCACTCTAACAAGTTGACATTTCGAGAGAGAGAGAGAGAGAGGAAGATACTATGATGGATTCTTCATAACTAATAAGATTTACAAGACCAAAAAAGTCTGTTTCAGGGAACAACATTCACAAAACAGGCATAATGGTGAAGTTAATACGCTTTGGCAAAGAATGAATCCAGCTCCTCTGCCACCAACGATCTGTGTTTCAATGTCAAACTTTCTTGATCCTCTCTACTGTTTCTTTTTGACTTCTTCCTCAGCGGTCCGATACCTTCGTATCTATTTAACATCAAGCTGTTGAATCTCCTCCTTCCAAGAAGCGCTTTGTGAAATTGACAAGACAAAAGAGAAACGTTGGTTCCAAGAACACATGCGACTACACGCATATTAGGGGTTTCAGTCTTTCTAGTTGAATCCAAGCGTTGAGCATGGCCAAACCAACCAAAGTCTATGGATTTTGAATACAAATCAATCGAAAGTAAATGGTAAAGATGTGAAATTTGCTTTCTTTTATAGCAAATAGTCCACCATTCAAGTTTATGATGTAAAGGTCATTTTGTTGGGACAGTTTGAACAAGTGATCCCGAGTCGCAGCACAGACTTAACCCTTTCATCATTTCATAGCCGCATCCAAGCTTATAGTGCAAGACCATCACAAATCTCACTTCCACTCTGAAACACACATTGACTAGGCTCTCTCTATATGTACCCATGGATTCTTTCCTTCTCTATCTCTATCTCTTATCTTGATTGTTATATGTTTCCATCATCTGTGAGAACTAGTTGAGTGGTGGAAAACATATATTAAACCAAACAGAAAACTTGATATAGCCATAAACTCAATTGGTGGGGAAAAAAAAAGATATTGAGCACAAAAACATGTCAAACCACTTCAACGTTGACATCTTTGAAACATAGAGCATTAGCAAACGAGTGAGTTAATGAATTGAAGACAACATCTATCTAATAATTGGTGAGAATGATGACTATTGATATGCCTACCACTGATTAGACTAAGACCAAATGTGGGGTGATGGGGGTAATTGCAACCAAATCAAACTATAGGGTAATAAATGCAATAAAGAAAAACGAAGAGATGAAAGTAAAGAGAGCTGAAATATGTGAGTGGGGGAAGATGGAGAGTGGTATGGGAACAACAATTGATGGTATGACAAACAACAACAACAAATTTGTGTGAGAGTCTTGCTTGTGTTGAATCAAAGATTGGTCCTTTTTTCTCTTTCCTGCTTTTCTTTTTTGTTGCTTTCTTTTTTAGTTTGTGATCTCAGGAGGGCTTTTATAATTTGCCCTCAATTTCTCCGTCCCTACTCTTTTTGATCAATTTCTACGAGAAAAACCACGAATCTTTAAACTCGGGCCTGTCCTTGTAATCAAGCATGTTGTGTAACTCATGAATTTGTGGTGAGATCTGGTGAGAAGTTTCCTCTTTTTTCTCAGATTGCTGTAAAAAAAAGAGTTTTTAATAAGGGAGAGAGAGAGAGAGATTGAGATTAGATTTTATCGCTTTTGTTTGTGATATGGGTAACGTGAACGCGAGAGAAGAAGCGAATAGTAACAACGCTTCTGCGGTTGAAGACGACGACGCTGAGATTTGTTCTCGTGAAGCTATGTCTGCTGCTTCTGATGGTAACCATGTTGCTCCTCCTGAGCTTATGGGTCAATCTCCTCCTCATAGTCCTCGAGCCACTCAGTCTCCTCTCATGTTCGCTCCTCAGGTTTTGTTTTGGTTTCAGATTCGCTGTCTTAATCTGGAGGATGTGATGAAAGAGATCTGAAGCTTTAAAGTTTGTGTCTTTTTTAGGTTCCTGTGCTTCCACTTCAAAGACCTGATGAAATTCATATCCCAAATCCTTCGTGGATGCAATCTCCATCTTCGTATGAAGAAGCTTCTAACGAGCAAGGAATCCCTACGATGATCACATGGTGCCATGGAGGTAAAGAGATTGCTGTGGAGGGATCATGGGACAATTGGAAGACAAGGTTTTAGTTGAATGTTTGTTTTGATTTAATGGCTTCTTTATCATTTCAAATCTGAGCTCATGTTTGTTGTTGTTGTTTTGGGGGTTTTGATCAGAAGTCGGCTACAGAGATCTGGGAAGGACTTCACAATCATGAAAGTGTTGCCTTCAGGCGTCTATGAGTACAGGTTCATTGTGGATGGACAGTGGAGGCATGCCCCTGAGCTCCCTTTGGCTAGAGATGATGCTGGGAACACTTTCAACATTTTGGATCTTCAGGTAACTCCATTATCTTTCTAGGTTTCATCAGCTTTCGAATTGGTTAGTTGGTGGAGAAATGAAACGTTTAATGAGAGACTATTGGAACTGCTAAATCAGGGTTATTGGGAATGGAAAAGAGATCTTGTTGATTTGCAAGTTAATACCAGGCTTTGTAGTTCCTTTTTCGATTTTGCGTGTGAAAACAGCAGAGATACTTTGATGTTATGCAGGACTATGTTCCTGAAGACATTCAAAGCATATCTGGGTTTGAGCCTCCGCAATCTCCTGAGAATAGCTACAGCAACTTGCTTCTGGGAGCTGAGGATTACTCTAAAGAACCGCCTGTGGTTCCCCCACACCTACAGATGACACTGCTGAACTTGCCGGCAGCCAATCCGGACATTCCATCTCCGCTGCCGAGACCTCAGCATGTCATCCTCAATCATCTTTACATGCAGAAGGGCAAAAGTGGTCCTTCTGTGGTTGCGCTTGGTTCCACTCACCGTTTTCTAGCAAAGTATGTAACTGTGGTGCTCTACAAGTCCCTGCAGAGGTGAGTAAAGATGATGCCAGTTCCAATGGGTAGCATGTGGAAACTCGACATGCTCTTATCTAATTTGGTGTTCAAAAGTTAACTCATGGAGAATGGGTGAGGCTATAGGAAGGAGACACACGAAGAGAGTTATTTCCAGGCAAAGTATTCCCTCGATACGGCGAATTTTGTTGTCTTTAAAGTTGTCAATAAGTTTTACCAACAGAATGAAGATGCAGTATTCAGTCAGTGTCTGTAATCTTTTGATTTGAAGACTTCATCATCTGTTTTTTTTTTAGCATAGAAGAATGCAGGAACGACTTCACTTGTAAAACCGGCAAATCTTTTTTATGGTTTTGTTTTGGGGCTTTCAAGTTTTTCACAACAGTTGTTGTCACCTGCCAGTCTTTAAATTATTGTTTGGTTTCAAATCTAGCAAAGTCATGTGTGATTGTGACAGATGATCATATGCTTCTGCAACTTGTGTAACAAAGCATCTGGAGATCAACTATATATCGGTGAAAAGCAAAAGATGACGGATGTCTTATTAGCTCATTATCATCTTCAGGAGAGGTCTCATTCTCAAATGAATCTAAAATAAAGTTTATTGCATTCTGATGGCCACTATCTAACAGTAGAAGGCTGTACAGAAAGAAGCAATAGAAAAGGGCAAAACATGTGATTTTATATGTTTGAATCTAATCAAGTTGCTGAATTTAGAAAACGGGACAGCCTTTGGCTTTGATTCCAGGAGCCGTGGGACAGGAGGCAAGAGGGCAGTGGTCTACTTCTGTGCCCCACCATTTGAGGTCGTGTCCGGCATTCTGAAGGGCGAAGAACAAGAGCACCCCCATGAACGCGGTCCCTGCATCGAGCGCTGCAGAGAGTACGTAATTGTACTTCTGCCACCATCTCTTGTGGTAATTGAACACAAAGTAGTTGAAGATGGTTCCTGTGACCAGCCAGCTAGCAATGTTGGTTGGAGTGGCTGGAGGCATCCCTGCAAAGCCATAGGAGATAACTGGAATGTTGATGAGAGGGATCCACTTCTTGTTTGGGAAGATCTTGCTCAGCGCCCACACGGGAACAGGCAGGACAGCTCCGATGAGGAAGAGCCAAACAAGGTTACGGTACATGCCTCCTGGTCCAAACAGTCGTCTTGGTCCTATCAACCCCCAAATAACTGAAGCATCGAACGTCACTCTGTACTTGGGGCAAGTCCAGGGGCTATTAGGGTGGTCTCCTTCGATGTCGCATATGTCTTGAATGCTCTCCAGCATCCACCAGGCCACTCCCAGATTCACCACACCAGCTACCACAGTGCCCACCAGCTGAGCCGTGTACATGCAGCGCGGTGGGATTTTCATGTAATGGCCAAGCTTAAGGTCTGCCAAGAATGAGAGAGCGTGGACGGTGCTGATCCGCCCGTAAATCTTGAAAATCAGGTTTGCAATGGGTTTTCCAGGCAGGATATAACCGATAATGAACTGCCCTATTATATCATACCCCGGTTGCTGCATTATTAAGAAAACACACACAAAGATATGAGCATGTGTTATTGGAGGAGGCCTTATCTTATATATAAACTAGTAATTAACCTGATTTGTAGTTGCTTGAATGACACCGATAGGGAGTGTGACAATAAAGGCCAATGCAAAAGCAAAGAGCATTCCCCACCATGGAAGCTGCACTGACTCTTTCCACACAAAAGACATGAGAAGAGACATGGCTACGCTTCCTGCCAGCAACACATAAAACCACCACTCAGGCACTTTTTTGTAGCTTTGCATCAATTTCCCATGAATGTCCAGCTTCGTGGTGTTCACTGCAGACCAAGTCTGCCTCCATATGTCCCTGCATAAACACACCAAGTGATGATTCTCTTCTAGCTAGCTAAGCTACTCAACAAAACTGAATGATAAAACTAACTAACCTGCCGTTGAACAATGCCACATGAGTTAGTGTTGCAGTGAATCTCGCAAATCCGGATCCGATGGAGAGTGCGAAAAGAGGGCTGAGGTAAAGCTTTCCGTAGCTGTTGTAGGCACCAATATCCAGATCAAACTGCGGTGTCAAGATCTTGGTTGTGTCATACTTCTGGCCGCTGGTAGTGAAGAGCTGATTGGAGAAAATGGGGAACTTTCTGGCATCGAAAGTGTTGAACTTCCAGTAACAAACAGGAACGATGATGTATATAAACATGATGAAACCAACACCAACGTTGAGGATAGAGGACCAAGGAGCCACCAAAGGACTACCATGGTAAGCAGAGATACCAGCCCAGTCAAGAGTGAAGGCTCCAACCCCAAGGCCATGGTAACCTGAACCAACTTGCTGAGCCGTGATGCTGTTTGGCCAAGCCCAACACACCCATGAGAAGAAGGTCAAGATTGGGAATAGATAGCCTGGAAGTGCATAGTAAAGAAAGCTAGCACCAAGAGCCACTAGAAAGAACTGCATCCTCGTCAAGCCTTTAGACTTGTTTTCCTTCTCATGCAACGCTCTGAAACAAACACATAAACAATACAATTCAACTTCAAAGGAATCAACTTTCTCGCATTGCAGGTAATTTTCGAATCAAGATTGGATTAAAAACCTGAAGAGAGAAACTTGAGCAAGATTGGAAGGCCACCACATGTCAACAGGATCAACCAAATACCTCCTCAGAATTCCAGCCCAACCATAACCCAAAATCTACAAAATTTCATTTCCATTTCTTGGTCAATTAACAAACTTTTTAACAAATTGTAAATTCCAAAGAGAGAAAGAAAGTAAACCTGAGTGGTCAAGACGATGAAGAGACCACAGATGAAGCTAAGACTCTGTTTATAGTAAGCTTTCATAACAGTGATAGCCCCAATAGAGTAAGCATCACCACCACCGTAAGAAACGCCACAATTAGCAAAGATGGTGATAATGACATGCTCCTTGATATTAAAAGGACCAGGATTGAGGCTAAAATTCCACCCAAGAAGGTTGTGAGAAGTGGTGGGAAGAGTCCGAGCCATGAACTTGCCGATGGGCAAAACAGCGATCTGCATGAGGATGGCTGAGATGGTGAGTGGCTGCGTGCGGTAGGTGAAGAAAGTATTGAGAAAGATGAGCAGAACACAAGAGGTCAGACCCAAGAACCAAGCTCTGAATGTCATCACCGGTATGCTTGGATCGTCCGTCTCAGGCACCACCAGAGCTACTTCCTCCACCGGACAACGCTCGTGGTCCGAAGAAAGATGGACATTGTTTCTATCACTAGCCTTCTCGGCGTCCATTTTCTTTCTTCTTCTTCTTCTTCTTCTTCTTCTTCTTGTCTGAAGTACCAGACAAAGTTGCGTTGTTCTTGTTTATATAACCAAAGGACAAGACAGGGGAACTACTGGCATAAAGTGAATGCTGTTTTAAAATTACATTATTGCCCCTTTTCTCCTATACGTTAGTTTATCCACGTGTCAATGTTTCACGCAAAACTATGTTCAAAAATCTTTTGCAATTAATAATCAAATAATTACACCTAATTATACACTGATTTTTGACCAATGTTAGGAGGACTTATGGTAAAAAGGGAAACAAAGAAGACTAAATTAAAGAAGATGAGATCTGCAAGACACATTGGGAGGTTCTAAATGGTTTTGCTTTCCTATATTGTCCACGCGTGTGAGACGCACGTGCCATTGAAGGTCTGACACACTCAGAACTCTGTCTAGATCAAAGCTGGTCTCATGTGGTCCCGTTTTTTGACACTGGACTAGGAAGCGACGTTCCACGTTACCAACGCCGTGAGGATTTTGCTTGAGAATTACGCGAGTGGAAGAGAACGGCCGTTAGTATTCTGACGGAGGTCGTGCTACGTATGCGTGGTAAGCTCGTGGTGTGCGCAGAACAAAACTGGATCCACGTGTCCGTCATGCTAACGTGGAATTGACAGAGTAGCAGATCACACGTGGACTTGTCCGAATGGATTTAGAACCTTTGAATATGCTATTTACTTTTTAGCACTTTCTATTGGATGTCCGTGAAAAGTCCAAAGAAAACAGTGATTTGATGAAACGACGGCTAATAATAAAATAAAGGGTTTGGAGTGCTAACTATTCACTTCGATTCTTAGAAAATGGAATAAAGATGAATAAAAAACTAAAGTGTTTTAAAAAATCCAAAAGAGAACGAATTAGTAAATTTTATAAATGTTTATAGTAGATGGATTAGAGTGATAGGTCTCAGAGGACAAAGATCAATCGTTTTGGTTAGAAAGCGTCCTCTAAGAACACATATTGTAAGAAGAAAAAAAACACAAAAAGTCTATATTAGTTGAACAACAGAAGTAAAAAAACTAAATTCTACCAAATTCAGTGACGTGTAAAACATATCACACTAAAACTTATACAGTATGAATAAGGATAACATGCATGATCAATCTCTCATGGGTTTAAATAGGCCGAAAAAGACAACAATTATCACAATTTCATATTTAGCTGATTGGTGAGTCTAACGGAGACCTAAAACAATGTCAAGATCTCTAGGAAGAGGAATATTTCTTGTCTTTTTTTTTCCTTTTTTTTTTCTGTTTCAAGGAATAATTCCATGGGATGGTAAGAGAGAACGGTGTAGAGACAAACACCACTACTTGCAAATATGATTCTTGAGTAGTTTTGAAGCAATGAATTTAGATTTGAGAGAATGACACATCACACAATCCCCACACTCTATTCATTATTCTTCTTCCACACATAAAACGACACTTCCTTACTCTTATTTGTCCCTTTATTCTCAAAAAGGCTTAAACCCTTAAAAGCCTCTTTTTATATTTTCTTCGTTTTTCTCCTCCTTTTCCTTATTGTTACATGAAATTTAAAACCAATACTATATATATACATTGTTTGTTCACGAACTCTAAATCATTGTATAATTACGCACCACCAAATTTACAACAATCATTTCGTTTGGACCATTCATACCTTTTTCATTAAGGCAAAAAGCGAACGAGACATCACCATGCGGGCCGGGCTTGATTCTGCATCGACCAAAACGAATTTCTTCCATTCCATTAACATTTTCGTTGTCTGAAGTGCTTGTCGTTCTCGGACCAACTTTACATTTTCAATATATACGTTTATAAGTTCCATCATAGTTGATCTTTAGTTGAAAGATGCTGAATGGAGATTAAATGTTGTCGGATCAAATTGGTGACATGAAACAATAATGGTCTTTTGGGGATAAAAGATGATGGTGCAATTAGAAGCAGTAACGCGGGGAGAGATAGAGTGCGATAAAAAAATTAGGGTAAACAAAAATATTTTAAAAATACAAAAAAAATTGTTGTACGTTACACTAAAATATTTTTTCAAATATAGTGAAATGAAAACGTATAGTTTTAATAAAATATATTCACTTACAATTTTAAAATTGAAGTTAAAATACGGTTGTCTATTCTTGCCGTCACAAAGGTCTAGAGGTACAAAAAAAAAATTATTTTGTCAACGAGGTACAAAATTTTGTATAGTAATAATATATTATCAACTCCGTACTATCTCTTTTTACTACAAATTTCTTAATACAAAAAGAATCAAATTTGTAATGTGTGAATGGATAAAGATAGGGTAGAAACTAGAAAGTATCAAAGTAGTACATGTCTCGGAGCCACACAAAGTAGAGATTATATCTTGGCAATCACATCAAAAGGACAGAATCTTATCAAAAGTCTTCCTAACTTTCGAGTTGCAATTGGGACCCAATAGATTTCCAATCTCATTATTATTTTTCGCTTTGAATTTTCAGCAGAGACGACTCCTCCTTATTTTGTATATGTCTGTGTGTCTCTTTCAGTATTATATATTCTTGTCAATCTGTTTCACCTAAATCGTACTTCCCACTAGATCTACATAGCTTATAATTGATTATACAAGACATTACGGTCGAAAACATATAACTAAACATTTTAAAACGTCTACAAGTTAAACAGCTAAAAATAGCATTAGATGTGTCAAATAAGCACCACAATTGAAGAAGCAGATTTAGGAGGAACTTCAAAGTTGACATATATAAGAGAGCAAGTGCTGGGGTATGAGGTGCATCATAACTAGCATAGCCACTTTGGTACTTAATTAGAATACCATTATTTGATAGGCATGCATGATCGTCATTGAAACAAACACATATTGTTGAAGTGTATCGTTGTTTCATGAAACTGTATCGACTTAATTCTGAACATACCTAACAAATTGGTCATGATATAATAATCCCATATTTACAGGTGAAACAAACTCATAATTGATTGTCAAAAAAAAAAAAAAAACTGATTATTAGATGAGTTCTTATATAGAACTGTAACTGTTTGGTTAAGATTTTCTTCGAACCGAACTAGGTATAAATAACCCAATAACCCAATATAGTATTTGTAAACAAATTGATGTGATATTTGATCTTAAAAAGTATTTTGTTTTAAAATTTAAGTGGTATTAAAAGTACATTTTCTTAACTTTTATAATCTAATGATTAAAGGTGTTAATTCTGGTTTGCATAATTTTGATTCTATGAACACAACAGAGAAGGAACAAGCATGATTCCACTAATGTTGAGGTTTGGATAATTCGGTTTTCTAGTTTATAAATAAATGTATTGTAAATCTAGTCTACAATGTATGGTTGAATTCTTTTTTTGATATGAATGTGATTCACTTCTGTGATTCACTTCACAACGGGTTTTTCCTCTCAACCAATGCTCGTTTATAAATTTTTATTGTTCATTTTAGTTTATTCTAACGGATATAATAATAGCTCGAGAAGGGGACAGACACTTGAATTATATTTTATGATGTCAATATTTTTGTATAGTTTTAAATTTGTGTTGAATATTTTATAATTAAATGTAATGTTGTGGATGCACAAGAAATTCTTAAGAATAAATATATCTTCCATCAAATAGTTTTATTTTTTTTAACACTACAAGAAAACAGGCGATTTGCGAGGGAAGAATTCCTAGGTAATCCCTCGCAAATCGCCTTTTGCGAGGGCTTTGCGACACACGTAACTTCCTCGCAAATCCCGTCTCGCAAATCTGTATACGTTGCACTTCCCTCGCAAATATTGCGACGAATATAATTCCTCGCAAATCAGACGCAATGTGCGAGAAACGTTCCCGGTAGCAAATAAGCCGCAAAAACTGAGTAGTAAATCCCTCGCAGACACTGCGAGGGATTTGCGAGATACACGTTGGCACTCGCAATTCCCTAGCAACTTTTGCGATGAGTTTGCGACGTATTTGCTAGGCTCTAAGAGTTTTTTATTAACGTAATTAGCGTTATTTAATTACGTAATTAGTATTTTAATTACGTAATTAGTATTTTAATTACGTAATTAGTGTTTTTATTGTGTATTTGTGATGATTTTAATTTGATTAAAGGAAATGCATAATTCAAATTCAAATTGCAAACAAACATCCAAATGTAGAATATTACAAAACCAAAAAACATGTCAAGTCTTAACATATTCAAGTCTTAATAACAGAACCAAAAAACATTCTAGGTTATAAGCTTAAAAGGCTGCAGATGGAGAAGAGGATCCGATCGCAGCACCAGTCGCACCGGTTCCAGTCTCGGTACTCGCACCAGTCGCACCGGTTCCAGTCTCGGTACCTTCAGTTCCGATCGCAGCTGTAGTGGCGGTCTGGTTTCCCTGTTTAAACTTGGCAGCAAACTCAGGATCCTTCTCGGCGAGGTACTCAAAATACGCATCATAGCTATGCATCCTCTCTGCCTGAGTTGCAATACAAGCTTGAGCGAGGGCCAGCTTTTGCGACAGAACCACCGGGTCCTCACTACTTGGCCCAGTATTGGCTGAAGATGCCTCTTGCTGCAATGATCCAGCCCCATATAGCCTGCCTTTCTTCCTTGGAGCAACCTGCCAACAAGACATGCAACCTTTTGAGTTAGACAACTACTGAAACAAACAAACAAAACAAACAAAACAATCAAAAAGCCACAACAAGAATAATCACTCAATTCAAACGCAGACATAATGCATCAGACATAATGCAGGCTTTATATATGTCTAACTGAATCATAAGAAGGCAGTGAACATGAACATAATGCAGGCTTTAAGTCTAACTCAAACATAACATAAGAAGGCAGTGAACATATATGCATCAATATCAGACAGACAAAAAAAAAAGCACAACAGCACAGTCACATAACAGAAGCCAGAACCTGAATTTGGAGAAGAGAAAATATACCTCAGCATAAATTTTGTTCTTGGCATGAACAGACAACCCGCCAGAAGCACTGCTTTCCATATTATCCCCTGAGAATAGCTGAGACTCTTGCTCCTCTATCCTCGATGACACTTCTTTGAATAGCTCCTCCGATTTGCCATCAACAAAGGACCCATCAGGTTTGCGATGAGTCTGTTCAAGAACTGCCAGAAGATCTGGAGTTGAATCACCGGTCTTCTCAGACTACAACAAAAAAAACAGAGGTTAAGTTTCAGTTCAATATGCAAAAGTGTGTATACAACAAAAAAACAAAGGTTAACTTACATGCTTTCTGGCACGGGCTTTGTAAGAGGTCTGGCCAGAACGGTGTTTATGTATACCGGTGCCATCAGGATCATGATATCGGGCATTTCTGCTGTTGATACTCTTCCTTTCAGATCTAGGATCACGCCAAAAACGAACAAGGCCTGCCCACACAGTCGGATCAATCCACTTTGGGCAGGCCTCATCACCTATATTCTTCCACTTTGCCTTCCATCGAGATACTTGATCAGACATCCTATCCTTCAACTTGTCCTCAAACTCATCTCTAACTCTCTGATTGATTGACCTGTCCCAGTTGTACATTTGCTTCAAAAAAAAAACACAAGTCAGAAATGGCATTACATTCATTTGTAGACTAAAAGAAAGCTAAATACTTTAACTTACCGCAAAAGTCTCAAACCAACGATTAATCACTGGTTCAGGAGTCTGAGTCCAATTGGCATGAGGTTCCTTGAAATCTCTTTCAAAAATACTTCGGACAGTAGCTGCTACTGAACCATCAATATCAAACCTACAAAAAAAACCAAAACAATTACAATTAAAACCAAACCTAGACAATCTGACCTAAATAAAACCAAACCTAGACAAGCTGACCTAAATAAAACCAAACCTTTCACATGAGTAGTAGACTACAAACCTAAATAGAACCAAAACTGAAATTAAAATTAAAGAGTTCCTTACCAGAGAGTTCCCGGAGGACGATTTGGATCTAGTCTTGTGAGAGACTGACGCCCAGGACTCTCAAGTAGCTCCTCAATTGTCAGATTGTTGAGACGCGTAGTTGCTGATTGAGTAGCTGAATTAGATGGTTGCAGAGGAGAGTTTGGATTGGTTGGTGGAGGAGTCGATCCATCAGCTCCGTCGTTTTGAGAGTGTGACGTCTGAGGCGAGGCTGCAGTACGAGCTCCGACGTTTTGCACAACCGGTGACGTCCCTTGAGAACTGGAACCACGACGGACAGGAGGAGCAGGGTTGGGTTGCGTAGAGAGAAACCTGGAGTAGTCATTCCAAGACATCTACAAGAACAAAAAAATTGATTAGTCAAATAAGAAGAAACAAGAATTTAAACCCTAAATCAAGCGAAACCCTAAATCAGAAAACCCTAAAACGAAGAAAACCCTAAATCGAAGAAGAAATTGAGAAAACCCTAAATCAGAGAAACCCTAAATCAGAAAACACTTAACCTTTGAAATCGAGGCTGGGAATCTTCAGATCGGAGGAGATGAGAACAGATACAGAGATAATCGGACACGATAAAGAGATAATCGGAGACGATAAAGAGATAATCGGAGATCGGAGAAGAAAGAGAACAGAGAAGGAAGAGAATCGGAGAAGGAAGAGATCGGAGGAGGAAGAGATCGGAGAAGGAAGAGATCGGAGGAGGAAGAGATCGGAGGCGATCAGAGAAGAAAGAGATTAGGGTTTTCGCGTTTAGGGTTAGGCGGCTAGGTTTGAGCTTTGCTCAAACACGGTCTTCCGTATATATAGAAATTTATCACGTCGCAAATCCGTCGCAAAGCTGACTCGCTTATCCCTCGCAAATGAGCACCGACAATATTAACCAATCAAAATGCTGCATATTTTGCGAGGGATCTGCGAGTCCGCCTAGTAATTCCCTCGCAAAGTTATTAAAAACAGAATTAATATAATTTAAAATTTATTTTAATCTATCAAAGTTTTAAACAAATAGTTATATGATTTTATCATCTTGGAAATAACTAAAAAAAAAGGTCCGGATACCCCCACCAAGAGCAGCTTCATGTGGTAAATGGATTGGCAAATGTTCCATCACGTCAAAAAAGGCAGGAGGAAATATTTTCTCCAAGTTGCAAATCAACACCGGGATATTATCGTCTAACTGTTGTATGCCATCAGTTGTCAATGTTCTTGTACATAGATCCCTGAAGAATATTCCGATACCTATCATATATTCAATTCAATATAAGTTAATAGGTGTTATATAATATATAATATATTGAGTAAAATAATATATGCTACTTTGGATATATATTTCATACCTGCAATTGCTTCATGAACATTTGTCGGTAACAACTCTAGTAACACAAATGGTAGTAACCGTTGCATGAATACATGACAATCGTGGCTCTTCATACCGGAAAATTTTTGGCCTTGCTCTACGCATCTTGAAAATTGTGACACATATCCATCTGGAAACTTCACTTCAGCACTAACCCACTCAAACAACGTCTTCTTTGCCTCAGGAGACAATCGGAAGTTCGGAACAGGTAATTTGCCATCTCGTGTAATATGTAACTCAGGTCTGTTACATATTTCTGCCAAGTCCAACCTTGATTTCATACTATCTTTCGTTTTGCCCTGCACATTCAAAAGCGTATTAATGAAATTATCGAAAAAGTTTTTCTCGATGTGCATCACATCAAGGTTATGCCGCAACAGGAGATCCTTCCAGTATGGGAGTTGCCAGAAGATACTCTGTTTGTGCCAATTGTGATCGCTACCGTAGCCATCGGGCATATTCGCCGGGGTATGCCAATTACCCCCACGCTTACATGTTTCCTGAGCACCATAATAATCCAGCTGTTCAAACAAATCATTCCCAGAAACATAAGATGGCGGGGGTATCCGGACCACTTTATTCTTCTTAAACAATTTCTTGTTCTTCCGATACGGATGATGCAGAGGAAGAAACCGACGGTGACAATCAAACCAACATGGTTTTCTTCCATTCTTAAGCTGAAACGCATCAGTACGGTCCATACAATATGGACATGATAATCTTCCGTGCGTTGTCCATCCCGATAACATTCCATACGCAGGAAAGTCACTAATCGTCCACAATAGCATTGCCCGCATATTGAAATTCTGTTTGCTTGAGTAATCAAACGTCTGAACCCCTTCATACCACAACTTCTTCAGCTCATGAATCAGCGGTTGCAAGAAGACATCGAGCGCTCGCTTCGGATGCTTTGGCCCTGGCACTAGAATACTTAAGAACAGAAATTCGCTTTGCATACACATATCTGGAGGAAGATTGTAAGGCGTCAAGATAACAGGCCATAAAGAATATTGTCTCCCAGACATACCGAATGGACTGAATCCATCTGTACATAAGCCAAGATACACATTCCTACACTCGTTAGCAAAGTCTGGATATACCGTTTGAAAGTGTTTCCATGCCTTTGCATCTGATGGGTGCGTTATTTCTCCATCTCTAGTTGTATGTTCTGCATGCCATCTCATCTTCTCCGCAGTTCTTCCTGATTGGTATAAGCGCTTCAATCTATCAGTTATTGGCAAGTACCACATCCGCTTATATGGAACTCGCGTCCTTCCTCCAGTAGGCTGATATCTCGGCTTCCCGCAAAACCGACATTCCTGCAGATTTTCATCATCTCCTCAGAAAATCATGCAATAGTCAATGCATACATCAATCATTTCTGATGGTAATCCAAGACTCGAAACCAACTTCTGTATTTCATAGTAACTCTCAGCCGATATATTATCCGGTGGCAAATATTCTTTAAATAATTCTGCCCATGAATCCATGCAATTTTCACTTAAGTTATTATCAGCTTTAATAGTCATCATCCTAGATGCCAAAGATAACTTAGATAGCCCTTCTCTACATCCCTCGTAAATTGGTTGATTTGCAGCATCTAACATATCATAAAAGCGTTGTGCATCTACGTTGGGTTCTTCAATAATATTTTCAGCAAATGCAGCAGTAGTTTCATGAAATGCATCGGTAACCATATCATGAATTCTATTTTCCTGGTTATACCCATAACCAAATTGATCAGATGGTAGATGACCATAATTCGCATCATTATAATTAATAGGTTGCTCCACACCATAATTCATATTACTACTGCCTGCGCTATCTCTACAACCTTCCCCATGACGTAACCATATATAGTAGTTTGGCATAAACCCTCTATTATATAGATGCGTCTTCACTACATTAAATTCCAAATATTTATCGTTGCGGCACTTACGACATGGGCAGAACACTGTACCGTTCTCACGAGCAAATGGTTCGTTTGTCGCTTGATACATGAAACCGCGCAATCCCTCGTAAAACTCCCTCGTCACATCACCGGTCGCCGGATCTCTATGGTTGTACATCCATTTTCGCAATGTGTAGATCTCATTAACTCCACCCGAAGACATTTTTTTTTATGAGTTTATTTTTTTCACAACCGTTTGATAGAGAGGTAGCATGCGCATCAGTTCGGTCGAGTCTCGTTAAATCTATTCCGATTTACGAGATTCTACCGAGCCGCACCCCCTTTTCTACAAAACTAGATATGTGAATGTTTTAAAAATTGGAAGTTTTTTTTTTTTTTTTTGTGAAGGATAGGATTGTTTTTTGTTTTGAGTTATGATTTTTGAATCTCATATGCTTGCTATTTATAGGCACACAAATTTTTTTGCTAGGGAATTGCTATCAATATTTGCTAGGGAATTGCTAGGAATCATTTATTTACTAGGATTTTGCTAGGAATTTTCACCTACTTATTTCACCTACTCACACAGTAGTTACTTTCATTTAACATGTGTACCTAACTCGAGATTGCTTGCAATTCCATCGCAAATATTGCTATGGAAACGAACGTCGCGAATTCCTCGCAAATTTGCGACGGAATTGCGAGGAATGAGGCGTTAATAGCAGATTCCTCGCAAATTACTCGCAACTTTGCGACGGAGACTTCCCTCGCAAATTTGCGAGGGATTAGCGACATTGACCACGCGCCTCGCAAGTTCCTCGCAAATCCATGGCAAATTTGCGAGGAACATTTTCCCTCGCAAAAGTCCCTCGCAAATCGCCTGTTTTCTTGTAGTGTAAGTTGTACTAAGAGATCCATAAAAGAGGTGGTTTGAAAGATGTTGCAAAGCTTCATCTATTTTAAAGAATTGAACAGATCATATCGTTTCCATGATATTTGGTGACACTATGGTTAGAGGTAGATGTCTAACATTGCAAGGAAACAGTGGTGGATCTAAAATATATTTTATATGGAGCACAATATTTTTGATTGTATTAATTTAATTTAAAATACAATATTCATATATATTATATGCAAACACAATTGATTTTTAGAATAATCGTTTCATTTTAGTGTTTTGTTAAAGAAAACGGGGAAACATACTATTACATATTTGAGGGTCGAACATGAGACATGCCTCCCAAAATCAAGATTGGAACTATTAGACATTTGAACATTTCTGAAAAACAAGACCACAATTTATTTAAAATATTGAAGGCCGCAAGCAGGTGCTTCATGGTTTTAGTCCAAAAGTCAGCTCATAATACTCTTAGCACTAACCAAGTCAATGACAAATAAATCCAACAAAGACGATGTTTATATTAGTATCTAATTCAATCTAAAACCCGCTACAAAGAACTAGAGCACAATACACCTAGAAGAAGAGTTTCCACAAAATCATACCAGAGAAGGGCGATCATCAACCCATTTGAAGATATTTAATATTGATTTGAAAGCTAAGATAATGCAAGTTAAAAGACTATTTATCTTTCTTATTTTAATATTTTTAATCATAAATTAATTTGAAAGTCTATTGTATATTTCTTAATTTAATATTTGTAATTTTTTTTAATGATCTCATGTAATTAATACATATTAGATGTGTTTTGCAGTGAATGCCCAGTGCAATCCAATAAAACAACCTAACAGAAATTTTTAAAAAATTATCATTTTATTATATAGTCGATTATAAGCATGACCGCACACAAGATGTACATCACATCTTTTAAATCTATAAACTAAACGGTGATATCATCCCAGTTATTCCAATGTTATTTACAGTAACATATATGGATGATATATACCCACTAATTAACTAACATGGTACTTATGATAAATATAGATTGATGATAATCTATGAAGTTATTGAGTACACAATCCATATCAGACGTAGGATGTCAGGTATCGGATCAAACCCAAGGGATATTGAATATTCCCTTGAAATTGCTGATATTGCTGGTCGCCAAAAATACTGGAAAACAAAACAATTGAAGTTTGTCATACCAAGCTGCTCCCAAGGATACTGTAGCAAAATGGTTTTTGTGATGTCTAGAACTCCCGAATTGTTCTTTCGGCATATAAGCTAAGTATCATATTATGTTTTTATGTATGCATCTAATATGTCGGATGAATTTATATTTCTTCATATATGTGTGATCTATTATTTTATGGTGCTATATGAACATATGTGAAGTTCTGATTATATATTTATATTTTCTTTGTATATATGTGATCCATCACTTTCCGATAATTAAATTTAAACCAACGTTAATGTGAGAAGTGCAATAAGATATAATCAATTTCAAGTACCAAATCCACAAACCCTTGAAAATTATGAGTTGTAAGATAGAAAATGGACAATTTTATTTTCCCAAGAAAAAAAAATTTAAGATTAAATAGTACAACTTAAAATTTCTCCAAAAAATAATATTCGAGATACAAAAAAAATAGATATATAATTCATTTCTAGAGTAATTCGAGTTGCATAACCCCATTCCCCATATCGTCGTTCACTCAGTTGAAAGAGAATAATGGCAACTATGAAAGTTATGAAAAAGAATGTGAAACGGCCCACTAGACTTGGAGAGTAGGATTGGAGATTCTTATCTAAAGTAGAGAGTCCAATAAGAGTTATGCTTTTGTACTTCGAAATACCCATTGGGTTTCATGACCCATCTATTCAAAAACTCATATACCACCAATATTCATCACAAATTCTTTAAGACATTTTTCTATTGGCCTTTGTAAAACTATAAAACGCCCAAATAAAAGTGTTTTATTCTACCAACTAAACTATAGTGCATGTGACGAATCTTCCAGCTATATTTCTTGTTGTTTTCTCTCCTTCTATCTTCTTCTTACGTATGAAGAATTGATGATGATGATGATTGCTCCATTTGTTCGTTAGTGAAAATATCAAAAGATAATACCTACAAATTTACCTATTTCTATAGATGATTACAAAGCATGTGATGTGGGAATTGGACTATTGGAGTGGTTGATTAATCGAGCTGGAGAGAAACAATTACAAAGATTCTTTACCATTTTTTAATTAAGCAAATGAGTAATATACAAAAAGGAGAAGAGAAGGAGACAAAGAGTTGCGATGAAGGAAGAATGATTGAGAAATTGAATTAGCCGACTCACGGCCCACTCCTTCCTTAAATAGTTTAGTTTTATTTCTTGCATGTTAATGTATTAAACTAGTAAAGAAACATTGAATTTAGGATGAGCAGTAAAAATATGATTTGGTAATAATAGAATAAAACAAAACAAATAAAGAAAGAAAGATTGGGTTAAGTCAAATAATGGCAACTATGAAAGTTAGAGATGTGAAAAGGCTTCTGGTGATTCATTATTGTACCTGCTGCTAACATTTTTATTTTTATTTTATGTCAAGAAATCGACGCCAACTAAGAACACGTGTCAAAACATGGTTGGTGTAGTGGGATTTGAGTCTGTATTATAAAAAGCTACATTTCTCACCACCACCCAATCTCTCTCTCTCTTGAAGTAGACTCTAAGCTAAAGCCACCGTCAGATTTCAGATCTCAGATCTCAGCTCTTCATTCGAAGCCATGGCCGAGAAGGGCAAGGAAAAGGTTCTCTTCTTCTCTTCTCTTCTCTTCTCTTCTCTTCTTTCTTATTCAGTCAATGGACAAAGTTTTGGTTTTTAATATGTGGGTCTTTAGGATATATTTAACATCTTTGTGGTCATCTCTTGTTTATTTATTAATAACTTGATGAGGTTTTTTTGTATATGTGGGTTTTGTTTGTTTGTTTTGTATGGATTAAAAAAAAGAGTGGCTACTTTGTGGAAACTATGAGAAGAAATCAGATTCTCTTTAAACCAAAAAAATAAGAAAAGAAAAGAAGAGATCAGATTCTTCTCTTTTTCTATTTTGTGTCAGAGATGGAATCTGTTCTTCTGCTCCCTTTTTTGTTGTTTCTTTCAGTAATTAGATCTTATAAACGTCAAATCCATAAGTGTATATAATGATTATTCGACTTTTACCATAATAAAAAAACTATGGAAGAAGCTGAGGATTTAGTGATGTTGATATCTCAAAAACAGGTAACTATGATGAAGTTGAAGGTGGATCTTGATTGTGCCAAGTGTTACAAGAAAGTGAAGAAGGTTCTTTGCAAATTCCCTCGTGAGTTACTTCTTTCTTTGATTTTTTGGTAAATTATCTTTTGTTGATTTTGATTGGATTGGTGAGGAAATGGACTGAGTGGATTACTTGTGTGATTGGGAACAAGAGAAATAAGAGACCAATTGTTCGATGAAAAGTCCAACATTGTCATCATCAAGGTGGTTTGCTGCAGTCCTGAGAAGATCATGGACAAACTCTGTTCCAAAGGCGGCGGCTCGATAAAGACCATCGAGATCGTCGAGCCACCCAAGCCTCCTCAGCCACAAGCCCAACCACCTCCCCAGAAACCTAAAGATGCTCAGCCTAAAGCTCCTGAGAAGCCTAAGGAACCTGAAAAGCCCAAACAGCCCGAAAAGCCCAAAGAACCCGAAAAGCCGAAGCAACCCGAAAAACCCAAAGAACCTGCTCCAGCACCCGCAGCCAAACCCGCACCCGCTCCCGCCCCAGCGCCAGCACCCGCAGCCAAACCCGCACCCGCTCCTGCCCCAGCGCCAGCACCCGCTCCTGCCCCGAAGCAGCCGGGACCGCCACCACAGGCGATCCCGATGATGCCGCAAGGGCAGCCAGCAATGTGTTGTGGACCCTACTACGATGGATACGGAGGGCCATCGTTCAATGGATATGGAATGCCGCCGCCGCAGCCTTACGAGTGCTATGGCCGACCAGTCTACGAGAGCTGGGGTGGGGGCTGCCCACCACCACCTTACAGACAATGCCACGTCAATAGATGTGATTACTTCAGCGAAGAGAATCCACAGAGCTGTTCCATCATGTGAATTGACTTCTTTATCTTTAAATCCTTATTTTTCCTTTAATCTTTTTTCTTATACAAATAATAATTAAAAAAAAAATATAGAGATGTTTACGTGTAATGTTGTGATTAAGAGAACCAATAAGGAAGGAAGGATCGTTGTATTTTGTAACTGTAAACACTAAAGAAAATTGTTTCATTTTCTTCTTTATATGAACCAATAATAGTACTATTTCGCTTTATTCGTAATCTACTTTTTGTGAGTGAATTAACTTTCTTCTTTTCGATTTCCAAAGTAGTGTCGGTGGAATTATTGGGAATTGTGACATTTTCTTCTTATTTATTTCAAGTTTGACGAAGGATTCGTGCACATAAAGCTCTAGTACCTTATTCTACGTACGAAGCTAGTACTATGATTATTATGATGCCATTTAAAAATATTCTAAAGATTATAGTTTATGTAGGAGAAAAGAGGTTATAGTTTATGTTATTGGAAAATTAACTCTAAAGATTACCACAAAATATGATTAATGAAACAATTTCAGTTTTTTTTTTTTTTTTTTTTTTTTTTTATATTTTGGGGTAAAAGTTTAAAGAAACAATAAGGGTGTAAAAAAATGGTCCACAACAATTTGTTATTTCTCACATTTCTTTTCTGTGTGAAAGCATAGTTAAAGGTCAACTTTAAGCAGAACTATAGTAGATTTGACAGAAATGGAATCTAGAATATTGTTTACAGAAAATACATGTTCGAAGATTGTATGTCGGTTCTAAGAGCATGTTTATCAATAAAACCCTATGAGTATCACAAGCATTTTTTTAGTATTAAATTAATTAATTGTTTAATCAATGTCGAATGAAACCGTATCAGAAGTCTCTACCCATTGAGCCGTTTCAACCCAGTCTCAACCCAAAATGAATTTTTTTAATATTTTTCATGGGCTGATACCCATCAAATATCATGGATAAACATGCTCTAAGACGTAGGATTATAAGCATTTTAGACATTCAAAGACAAGTCAGTCATCCCATATGTGAATGGTTTTCGTATGTGCTATTTGTACTTTAAACATGCAATAACTAACTATAAAGAAACTTTTTTAGCACTAACCTATCGATCTTTGAATAACTTCTTGCTCAATTAAGACTAAGATGGCCCATAATATGAGAAAAATCATCACATATCATGATGTATGTGTGTGTCTCAAGATGGCAATTCATTGACTTTTACTATCCGTCTTTAGGATTAACAATTCCTTGAATTCTTTTTAACAATGGGCTTTTATTAGTTGGCCGTAAATCTATTTGGGCCCATATAATAAATTCCTTACCCAATGCGCTGCGTTTCAACACAGCCTTCTTTCTCTACTTCCTTGTTTCTACTACAAATCGCTGTTGGATAAGGTCTCGAGGCTGCAACTGTGAACAAGTACCCAAAAAAATGTCATTTCATCATCTATGTTCTTCTCCCTCATCTCTTCTCCACGACCCTCTTCCTCTCTGCAATCTCCTCTCAGTCTATCCCAAATCCACTCCAAGAAGTTTCCTCTGCTCTTACAATCCCAATTCTTCTCCTTTCCACTCCAGAAACCTTCTCCAAGTAACCCATGTTTCAGTACAAGAAGCAATTCCACAGAGTGAAAAATCCAAACTTGATGATGCAGATCTTCCTATACCAACCCCTACTGCTTCCAAAAGCTACGTCTGGGTTAATCCTAAAAGCCCCAGAGCTTCTCAGCTCCGTAGAAAATCTTACGATTCGAGGTACTCTTCTCTTATCAAACTAGCTGAGTCTCTTGACGCGTGTAAGCCAAACGAAGCTGATGTTTGCGATGTCATTACTGGGTTTGGTGGTAAATTGTTTGAGCAAGATGCTGTTGTTACTCTCAATAACATGACTAACCCAGAAACTGCGCCAATTGTGTTGAATAATCTCTTGGAGACGATGAAACCTAGCAGGGAAGTGATTCTCTACAATGTCACCTTGAAAGTGTTTAGGAAAAGTAAGGATCTTGAAAAGTCAGAGAAGCTGTTCGACGAAATGCTTGAGAGAGGGATTAAACCGGATAATGCAACTTTCACTACGATCATTAGCTGTGCTAGGCAGTCTGGTGTACCTAAGAGTGCTGTTGAGTGGTTTGAGAAAATGTCTTCCTTTGGATGTGAGCCTGATAATGTCACTTTGGCTGCTATGATTGATGCTTACGGGCGTGCTGGTAACGTTGAGATGGCTTTGAGTTTGTATGACCGTGCAAGGACTGAGAAATGGCGCATTGATGCTGTTACTTTTTCGACTTTGATTAGGATTTATGGTGTTTCTGGAAACTATGATGGGTGTCTCAATATCTATGAAGAGATGAAGGCTCTTGGGGTGAAGCCTAATTTGGTTATTTATAATAGGTTGTTAGATTCTATGGGTAGAGCCAAGAGGCCTTGGCAGGCTAAAATTATCCACAAGGATCTTATTAGCAATGGTTTTACACCCAATTGGAGTACTTATGCTGCTCTTATTAGAGCTTATGGTAGAGCTCGTTATGGCGATGATGCACTTGTTATCTACCGAGAGATGAAGGAAAAAGGATTGTCTTTAACTGTGATTCTTTACAATACTCTCTTGTCCATGTGTGCTGATATCGGATATGTGGATGAGGCTTTTGAGATTTTTCAAGATATGAAGAATTGTGAGACTTGTGATCCTGACAGCTGGACCTTCTCTTCGTTGATCACTGTGTACTCTTGCAGTGGGAGGGTTTCAGAGGCTGAGGCGGCTCTTCTTCAAATGAGAGAAGCTGGTTTTGAGCCTACTCTTTTTGTTTTGACGTCAGTTATCCAGTGTTATGGGAAAGCCAAGCAGGTAGATGATGTTGTGAGGACATTCGATCAAGTGTTGGAACTGGGCATAACTCCGGACGACAGATTCTGTGGGTGCCTTCTGAATGTAATGACCCAGACACCTAGTGAGGAGATAGGTAAACTCATTGGCTGTGTCGAGAAGGCTAAGCCAAAGCTTGGTCAAGTGGTTAAGATGTTGGTAGAGGAGCAAAACGGCGAGGAAGGGGTGTTCAAGAAGGAAACATCTGAGTTGATTGATTCCATTGGCTCTGATGTAAAGAAAGCATATTTGAATTGCTTGATTGATCTCTGTGTCAATCTCAATAAGTTGGAAAGAGCTTGTGAGATCCTACAACTGGGACTTGAGTATGATATTTATACGGGTCTCCAATCGAAATCTGCTACCCAATGGTCCTTACATCTAAAAAGTCTCTCTCTCGGGGCAGCCTTGACCGCTCTTCATGTTTGGATGAACGACTTATCCGAGGCGGCTCTGGAATATGGTGAAGAGTTCCCTCCGTTGCTTGGAATCAACACTGGACATGGGAAACACAAATACTCAGACAAAGGTCTGGCAGCAGTTTTTGAGTCTCACTTAAAGGAGCTAAATGCTCCTTTCCATGAAGCCCCAGATAAGGTTGGCTGGTTTTTGACTACCAGTGTTGCGGCAAAAGCATGGTTGGAGTCTAGACGCTCATCTGGAGGAGTTTCTGCATAGCTCTTGTAATTGGTATGTAGCTTTGATATGTCTATGTGGCTTCAAGCTTTATCCACTATTTAGCTTTCTTTCTCCTGATACCGGGATTTTCTGGATCAGGAAAGATTTTGTAATGCTAGCAAACTTGGGTTATACACATTTGAAACAATTTAGAGAGCTGATTAAGTCTCCTTCTCCTTAGTTTCATGGTCTTCTCTTCATATCCTCCTATTGACTTTAATACTGGGGCGGTGGTGATTTGACTTTTCCCTTCTCCTAGAAAGCATGCTTATTGATTTACGGTTTCATTAATATTTAAGACGCCGTTTGACAAATGCAATTGCAACAAGATATGTTTTCCAAGTGCTGCTACATTAGCTGACCGTTATAAAGAAAAGAGTTAGTGGGCATATGATGGTCTGCACGTTGTTCCAAGAGCTGAATATAAATTGTTTGATTCATGGCATCTTCACATCACTATCAATCATGGGAAACTGCATTCACACATTGCTCTGCAAGCATGCAAACAAGGTTACAGATGTCTGGTCGGATGATGAAGCATCAACAGAAAAGGCCAAGGAGTCACCTCAGGATGCAACTGAGAGCAAAACTGGGAGAAGGCGGTGCATAAAGATCACTCTGACAAGGAAAGAGCTCGAGCTGCTGCTGCGACAAAATCCTCAAGGCGTTTCGTTTCAGAAGAAATGGAAACCATCTTTGCAGACAATAGTAGAGGTAGATAACTTTTGATAGTCTGTTTCGCTGTATAATCTCGCTGTGGCTTGAAGCTGAAGTAGCAGGAGGGAGAGAAGTTTTGATAACAACTCAGTCTAGTAGTTGTAAATTTTGTGTTCAGATGTTGTGACTGCTAATATGTAAAGTTACAGTTCTTGTAATGGTTTGTTTTTGGAAACCTATTACTAAAGAATGTCAGAGTTATTCTGATGGTTAAGTGTTTTTGTTTAAAATCTTAATGTTAATCAATCACTTGTGTGGTAATGAAAATGTGGAGTTTTATAATGTGATTAAAGAAGAGAAAGATGATGCCTTTCCATTGGATATGAAGAAAAGGAAGAAACTTTGCAAAGCGATGCGATCCCTCTTATTCCTTCTTTATTCTCTTACACAAAGTCTTTGTCTGGTAATCATCACGAGGAAAAGAGACAAAACCCATTTTCCGGACAAAGGCATCATTTTAGAATGACGACTATCTCCCTTCACATTCTCTAAACTTAGGGGTATTCAAGTCAGTAATCATGATTAGTGGGTTAAATTAATGTTAACAAAGGAATCTTCACCAAGCACACAGCCACTTGAAAAGGACTTGAGAACTTGCGTTGATCAACAAAAGCCAAAGGTACCAACTTTCAAAGTAAAACCATCTCAATCTCCTTCCTTTTAAACTGCAATCTTCAGAGTTTTGGCTTCAACATCTCCCCAATTCTCTCCTTTCCCTCTTACCGAGTTCAATCACAAGGAAATGGAGATCCAGGCAAGGCTAATGGAATACAGATTCCATTTCATGGTAGCAATCATGGTGAGCGTGATTGTGGCGTCTCTCTTGTATGCAGCACCAAGGATTGTGAACATTTTAGCCTATTTCTGGCCTCTGTTTGCGTCAACGGCCGCCTTCTTAGCGGTGGCAATCACCTTCGGTGGCTTTCAACAGCTTTCAGAAGAAGCCACCGGCGAGAGACTGATGGATTACGTCGCCGGACGGCCTGAGGATTCTCACAAGTACGATTGACAAAGATTTGCACACAAGTATCCATCTTTAAAGAGTTTTAACAATGTACATGATTTGGTGTAACTTATATGTCAAATAAAAATGTGATTGATTGTGTAACAAAATTTAAATAGATCAAAAAGACAGAGCATAAAAGCAGAGTATTAATGAAGAGAACAAAAACAAACTATAGTTTGGTCAATAACTGTAATCATAAGCGAATTCATTGACACCAATCATGGCGGAGACAACCTGAGAGACGATATAGAAGCTCCCACCTAAGATGAGCAGAATGAGAATGGCAGAGATTGGGTTCTTGAGGAGTTCAAAGATGGGCTCAAAGACTGCGGAGAGAGCTCCGGTACTGACCGTGAGAGCGTAAAGACCGTACCTTCTAACGTTGTCCCAAAACTCTTCCATCAAAGGACCTTCTGGTCCAAGCGCCATAGCTTTCTCTGCATCCATTCCCAATACCAAAACCATCATCAACCCTACAGAGACTCCACCAACCACAGCATGTCTCCAATGTCGCTCCAAACCCAGAGGTTGTTGTGCCTTTTCAAGCTTGCTGTTTCTGCTACTTTTCGTAGTTAATCTTCTTCTGGCTGAGCCACACCGAACAATACATGATGTTCTGTTCCTTATGTTTGAGCATGGGAAAGCTAGAGCTGCTGCTAATGATCTGCTACTGGTAAGGTGGAGGTGAGGTTGCAGAGAAGATAGTTTCATTTTGGGGAGAGACATCATCGTCATCTCACTTCTTGCTTTCCTTGTAGGATTCAGATTCTTTCTTATATACTAAAACATTGAGTTTAGATTGTGTGGCTCTTATTCCCCTTATCTCTTTTCACAATCTGTGGATAACTTGATCGTTTTTCTATTACAAACTAATTTTGACAAGTTGTAATAAACAAGGGAATGTCAACAAATAACTCAATAGAGCTCACACATATATATGATACAACACTACACAAGCCTTAAAGTTGAGCAATACCCTTCTTCACAAGCATATCATAAACTCGATCCACTTTGGTTGGATCGATCTTGAACAGGCTATATGCATCCGACTTCTTCGTTACATTTCCTTTGAATATCTCATGTGACATCACTTGTTGCATCTGTAGATAAACCGGTGGAACCAACTTGACCTCGCTGCAGAGACGCTTCTCCTGCAAAACAAAAACAACTCTTCTTTCAGTTACAACAAAACTCTCATCTCACACATGTTCAGTATCTCGACACTCACGGATTCGGACAGCAGTTGCGACTCCGTGAATCCAATCAGGTCCAAATCATTCACATAGCTTGAAGATGCTTGCACAGGAGGTCTAGAGCCCATCTCCCCTGCTATTTGACCAAATTGACCGCTCTCTTTCCCTCTGTTCATCCCTTCTTCGTTTTCTCTCTTCCTCTTCCTCCCCAGATATCTCTCTGCTTCAGCCGTCGAACGACAACCTGCCATTTGTGCTTCCTGCTCCACCAATTTAACACAGTCAGCCACATCCAATCCAAGAAACCAAACGCACAGTTTGAGAGTAGTAATGTCCTTACCTTGAGATCTTTGAGCCGTTTCACCATGCGGTACTCGCTTACAACACTACGGAGTAGCTCGTCGTGCTCCTCTTTTGAATGAAAACGCATAAAAACGTCCAAACGTCGACACTGCACTTTCTCCTCCTGAGACAGGTCCTTCTCAAAGGGATTTGGGTACAACAGGTTTCTTTCTATTATGAATTCTTTTCTACGTTTCCTCTCATCAAGCCTACAATCATCGAACTCACCTGAGTCAGAATGGGCGGCAAAAAGAAGAGACTTTGTTCCCCTTTTGATCTTAAATGCTGTACCTTTTAGAATAGATACGCAACACACGCAGCTTCAGCTCATGTTCCTCAGGAGTATCGTTCTCTTTGAACTCCATCTCAGCCAAGAGTTGCTCAGCGTCATTGTCATATTCAGGGTCAAACTCTTCTCTTTTCTGGTTGTAATTACTCAATTCAACCAAAGAGTTGTTTACCGAGGTGGCGACAGGTTTCTTCCCTCCAAAACTCCTGTCTACAAAAGACTCTAACCACAAAGCACGTCAAAACATAGAAAAAAGGAGAAAATATCTACCAGTATAAATACAATGACAAATATTGGGATTTTTTTGGATTTTAAAAAATTATGCTCAGTCAGCTTCTTACTTTACAAGAAGTAGATGATTCCATTTATGGTGAACTAGATTATAACTACTGGTAACTACTGGTGTAAGCTAAAGCAAGTATATAACATAACGACAAGCACATTTATATACGAACCAGATATAACATACTAAGCAAAGGACTCACCTTTTTGTGTGTCTTCAACTCTGCAAGAAAATTGGATAGAAGATGAGAAAACTATAGGGTTATCACTGTACAGTATATGAGAAGAACGAGAAACATACTTGACTTTAGGAGGAGAGAATGGGTACTCTTCTTTCATGTTCTGCTCTGCTGCCAAAGAAGCCACATCAATATCAGAATTACGATAGCAACACGTACAACGCAGAATCATACAACCATCAAGCAAAGTAGCACATACCTTTCTTGTCATCAATGCGTCCTTTTGCCATGGCTTGAAGTTCTTTTCTGTTCTTCCCTGCTACATGTGACATATCCTGGGAAATAAAACATTTCTCCTGAATTAATTAATACCTTGCAAAGGCTAGCACTACTGCGCCAGATATATGTTATCTTATCAGATCGATATAGCATACCGGAAGTGGGAAAAATGGCGAGTTCAAATAAATGTTTCTGTAGTGCTCAAGACACTGTTCTTTACTCTTCGTTCCCACATGCTCTGCAACCTCTGCCCAGTTTCCCAAGCCATAAATTTCAAGTCCCTGAATTAAGGCATTAAAAGAAATTACTTTTCACTGAAAGAAACAGACATTATAGACTTCATATCAGTACGATAGAAGAAGTAGTGGTACCTCCAGTAGAAGCATTTCATCATCCGCACTCCAGTCAGGACAAATAAGCGGGAAAGTTAGATTTCCCTGACAAAGCAAATGAAATATATTAAGCTTTGATGGAATTCAACCAAAAGATATATTCACTGAATCCAAATGATGAAAGTATACATAAATTCATCTCTTTCTCAATGAATCAAACTCTTTCCAAATTAAAAGGTAAGAGAAGTAAAAAAAAAACTAACCATAACTCGGTATGGGTGATCACATTTGTGAGGAGTAATCTCTGCTCCAACAGACATACATTCTACACAGAGATCAAAATCCGGACAGACAGCACACTTTATCCTAATTTTGCCGGTAATGTCTTTCTGGCAATAATCGCAGTTATATTTCCCTCCTCCCTCAGTACCCGGAACTGTCTCCACAAGAAAAGAACGTTGAGTAAAGGAAGAATCTTGACAGGAGAACAAAAAAGGCTAGAAGAGTAGTTTTACCCATAGATGTAGACTCAAAGTTTTCCACATTAGCTGCATTTTTCTTTTTCCTCGTTCTGCAACAAACGCATACACAAATCTTTCACGTCAGCTTCAACAGTGAAAGAACAATTACAGAGATGAAGACAGAGAGGACTATATAGCTACTGAAAGGTTTCAAAAGCAACAAATTTGAAGCGATGCTCATTGTCCCAACTCGAAATCAATGATTACTGCGCAACGCAGATTCAAAGAAATATGAATTCAATCAATTTGAGCCAAACTGGCAATTACATAGATGAAGATAGAGTGCACTATATAGCTACTGAAAGTTTGTAAAAGCCACAAACTTTAGTCGATGCTCATTGTCCCAACTGAAAAATCAATGATAATTGCCCAAAGCAGAATCAAAGAAACTTAAAATACAATCAATTCAGCAGAAATTGGCAATTACATAGATGAAGATAGAGATGAGACTATAGCTACTGAAAGTTATCAAAAGGCACAAGCCATGCTCATTGTCCCAACTAGAAATCAATGATAATTGCGCAACGCAGACTCAAAGAAACTTGAAATTAAAATCAATTCCAGCAGAAATTGGCAATAACAAAAGAGAAATCAACAAAAACCCATATCGGGAAAAATCAGTAGTGAATTAGGAACAAACCTCTGTGTAGGGTCTTCGAAATTTTGGAAGTTCCCTCGAGAGCGACCCATTGATGCTGAAGTTGGGATTATGCGGAACCAAAAGGAAGAACCCTAACGTAATGCCAACATGGGAGACTCACAGGAGAAGATGTAATTGTACTTTGGGGTTTCGTGGAAGAAAGATCTAATGGGAATTCAACAAAACTTGGCCCAAATTTGTGAGGTCGGAACTGTAGTAATTATTTCAGAACTTCCCTGAGGAAATTAAATTAGGGAAATCGAGGAAAAGGAAATTTCTAAGGCACTGGGCTTTTAGATTTTTTTTTTTTTTTTTTTTTTGGGATCAGACGGTGATGCTTATTACTAAGCATATGACTAACTAAATTGACTCTTATAACTTTAATCTATAATTTTTTATACACTATCAATACAATAATCCTAAATTTTGATGCTAATTGTTGAATGGTGGTTGAGAGTAAAAAAAGAAAGTAAAAAGAAGCTAAATATTATTTTGTTGTGTAAGAAATTTGGTTTTTGTTTTTATCTATTTTTGTTCATGGACCTACATTATGATGTATTTCAAAAATCTTTTTGATGCTCAAATGAAAAAAGGATTTGGAAGAAGGTTAAGAAAGGAAGCAACCGTATGAGATAGTTTGCGGTTATTCTTTTAATTTACTGCGTGTTAAGCTACTTAAAAGTTACTTCTTTTGGTTGAGAATAGAAATTTTAGAAATGTTTGAATCTCTTTTATTAGACATCTAGTGAGACATTTATAAGACTCATCTCAATCGAATAAAAATATCGAATCATTGTTTTGTTGCACTAGTAAGTTCGTACTCGCACATATTAGACGCGATTAGTTCTCCTATACCACATTACCGAAACAATCATGATTGACTAGATGGTGTAATGATGTCTATCGTACTACATGCCCCCTTTATCTAACAATTGTACTTGCACATAATAGTGAGATGTGTAAACTCCTCTTTCGCTTATTGATGGCAATGTGCGTTAGCTTAATTCGGAGAAGGCGAGTTTTCGATAGACCCTCTAAGCGGCTCGAAACTCATGCCTCACATCATAATCTGTTGGTACAACAAATTTTGTTCCCAACATGTACCCATAATCTCGAAAAAAATATAGTGAAATCAAATGTGTTACTTGTAGCTGAATAACCTAATATCCTTGTTTAAAAAATCGCTAGGCGCTAGTCGGGCGGTGAGGGTGGGCCTAGCGCCTAGCAAAAAAATCGGAGATTAAACGGGGATTAATCGGGGACTACTTTTAAGGCTATTTAATATTTTTAAAACATATTAATCCATTATAAATAAGAAATTTATATAATCTTGTTTTTAAAATTGTATTAAACACATGAAAACAAGAATTTAAGGTCAAACTTATGATTTTGATATAAATTATGAATATAAGTGGGACGTTTGAATTTTAGATCCAAAAAAAGAAAAAAAAATGTAAAAAAAAAAAAAAATGGGCTAGGCGCCGTCTAGGCGGGCTAGGCGGACGCCTAGGCGGTCTAGGCGGACAAAAATTCGATCACCGATTTTTTTTACCGATTTGGACAAAATCGCCGCGGTCCCCACCCGATCAGCGCCTAGGCGGCTAGGCGGCCGATTTTTAGAACAAGGCCTAATATGTACTACAGCACAATTTCTTGTGGTTTGGTTGGGAAGAAAAAACCAAAAAAATAGTTTGTTGTTAAAAACGAAAGGAAAAGGAAATGATGTCCTTCGTATTAAATACGATTAAACCCAGATTCTCACATCTTCCTCATTTCTGCTTTCTTCGTCAATTTCAGAACAAGTAGCTACAGATCTGAAGTGAATCAAGCTCAGGTTTTGTCTTCTCTTTGATCATTCCTATTTGAGCAATAGAAATTAGAGATAGAACCTTTATAAAGGGCTTTGCTTTTACATCAGCAAACCCTAAAATCGGTGTCCCAGCAAGAAACACGTGATCCTCCTTCTTCTTCCTCACGAAGCCCATCTTCTATCTCCTTTGTAAGCGGCGATCTCAATCCAATACCTTTAATTTGTTTGATTCCAAACCCTAATTTTTGTATATCCATTTCAATGAACGTTTCAGGAGAAATGGGTCCAAAGTTTTGGGAGAATCAAGAAGATCGAGCGATGGTTGAATCCACCATAGGCTCTGAAGCTTGCGACTTTTTCATCTCAACGGCTTCAGCTTCCAACACTGCTTTGACCAAGCTTGTCTCGCCGCCAAGTGATTCCAATCTCCAACAAGGGTTACGTCACGTTGTTGAAGGCTCTGATTGGGATTATGCTATTTTCTGGTTAGCTTCCAACGTTAATAGCTCTGATGGTTGTGTCTTGATCTGGGGAGATGGTCATTGCCGTGTCAAAAAGGGGGTTTCAGGTGAGGATTATTCGCAGCAAGATGAGACCAAAAGGCGTGTGCTTCGAAAGCTTCACTTGTCCTTTGTTGGTTCAGATGAGGATCATCGTTTGGTGAAATCAGGAGCTCTTACTGATCTCGACATGTTTTATCTGGCTTCTTTGTACTTCTCCTTTAGGTGTGATTCTAATAAGTACGGTCCTGCTGGAACCTATGTGTCTGGGAAGCCTCTTTGGGCTGCCGATTTGCCTAGCTGCTTGAGTTATTATAGGGTTAGGTCTTTCTTGGGTAGATCTGCTGGTTTTCAGACTGTGTTGTCTGTACCAGTGAATTCTGGAGTTGTGGAGCTTGGTTCTTTGAGACATATTCCAGAGGATAAGAGTGTGATTGAGATGGTGAAATCAGTGTTTGGTGGATCTGACTTTGTTCAGGCTAAAGAAGCTCCTAAAATCTTTGGTCGACAGCTGAGCCTTGGTGGATCGAAACCTCGGTCTATGAGTATTAATTTCTCCCCCAAAACGGAGGATGACACAGGTTTCTCATTGGAATCGTATGAGGTGCAAGCGATCGGAGGCTCCAATCAAGTGTATGGTTATGAGCAAGGGAAAGATGAGACATTGTATCTAACTGACGAGCAAAAGCCGAGGAAGAGAGGGAGAAAACCAGCAAACGGAAGAGAAGAGGCTCTAAACCATGTGGAAGCAGAACGGCAGAGGAGGGAGAAGCTGAACCAGAGATTCTACGCATTGAGAGCGGTGGTGCCTAACATCTCCAAGATGGACAAGGCTTCGCTCCTTGCGGATGCAATCACATACATCACGGATATGCAGAAGAAAATCAGGGTATACGAAACAGAGAAGCAGATAATGAAGAGGAGGGAGAGTAATCAGATAACTCCAGCAGAGGTTGACTATCAACAAAGGCACGATGATGCAGTTGTAAGGCTAAGCTGTCCATTGGAAACGCATCCCGTTTCAAAGGTGATACAAACGTTGAGGGAGAATGAAGTTATGCCTCATGACTCCAATGTGGCTGTCACAGAGGAGGGTGTGGTTCACACATTCACTCTCCGGCCTCAGGGTGGCTGCACCGCCGAGCAGTTGAAGGACAAGCTCCTTGCCTCTCTATCACAGTAACTGCTATGTAATAAGTGTGAACGTGTTGGAGGTTGTATCAATGTACTATTACAAGCCAAACAAAAAAAAAACTCCAGCTTAGTAGGATCGTGTAATTTTACTTATATGTAATGTTGAGATCTGTCTTTTACATATAAAGATTTTGAGCAGAAAGCTTCACACTTATCTCCTATCTAAATACACAATATAGAACCGCCTTTGTTGCCTTTGTCAGTCAAAAAATTTGAACACCTCCAGTTTGTCTACGGTCTACCAATTGTTGAGCTGCGACGTAACACTTTTCACGACTGGATGGTACTGAGTGTGCAAGTACTTCTTCGCCTCGTTGGAGCCAGGCTCTTTAAGCCACTCCTCGTATAATCCCTTGGCCGTTGGATTCTGGTATGGATCTGTATTCAAAGTCTGGATCCAAAAGGGCAGGTTATTGATTATTAGCTTAGTTTTCTTAATTTTTGGGGTCAGATTTATTAGCTTAGTTAAGAAATGAATTATGAGACTCAAGGGTAACTTACAGTATCATTCATATAAGTAGCTTCCAGTGAGTGGATCAGTTCTTTCTGGGACTGCCCTGTCTTTGGCTTGATCTGCCCACCACCATTTAGGCAACCTATTTAGAACAAGCATTTTAGGGAACCGTTAATAAGACAACATGTAAGACACGTTTTTCAACTAGGGTTTGCAGAAGATGAACCTGCAGGGCACGCCATAATCTCTACATAATGATAATCGCATTTGCGCGTTTTCACTCTCCGGACAATATTCTGGAGGTTCTGGAAACCGTAACACAGCGCAAATTTCAACACTGTTTTACCTTCCAACTTCAAGAGAAAAGATGACGAACATGAGACAAATCCGAGGGGGAATAATGAGAGAAAATTTCAAAACTGTTAATAGTCTGGCAAAGAACTTACTTGAAGAGTCACTTCACGGAAATCAGAATTTCTGAGAGTTTTAAACTCCAGAGGACCTTCAATAGTTTGTCCAAATAATGCTTTTGCCGCATGTCTAAATATTGTTTCTGCGTAACCACCAGAACTCCCAGCTACACCATAAAGATGTCCTTCCTCAGTAACATTAGTCAGCCTGTTTTTTGTGCATGAAAATGGAAATTGTTTACTTCATATGCATACATCATCCATAAGCAGAGAAGAGGAAATAATGCTTCTTACATTCTGTCGAGTGGAGATTCCTCCAAATCTTTAAAGTCAACTCCTTTCAACTGCAAGACACATAATAATCCAAAATCAAATTCACATTTTCTGCGACATGGAAGCAGAATTACAATGAAAATAGGTTTTAATTTCTATCACAGTATCACCTTTATTAAATCCAAGATTTCACCAGTTGTTAGCACGGAATCAACCTCTGTCAGCTTGAGGCCTCCATTATCTTGTGCTCCATCTTCAAAGACAAAATCATCTCTTGCTGCCTCGAGCTTCTTATCATAACAGGGCATCACAGTCACATGGTACACCTCCTGCAGCCTAGTTCCATGAAATGGTCACCGTTGAATCCAAAATTTTAGGAAGGTAACCAAATGATAACCAAAGATTCAAGTGTACCATAGTACCTGAGTCCTAATGCTTGACACAGATGGTGTTTGATTGCAGCTCCAATAGCTTGCTGAGGACTCTTAACAGAAGAGACATACGGCAGAACATATGAGCCAAGCTGCTTTTCAGCATAACATATCCACCCTTGATTCACAAAAAATTTCGCACATTACTCTCACATAGTGACACATTCGACTACATCAAACTAGTAAAGTTGCTTACCAGGACAGGCAGAGGAAAGCACAGGGAGAGGGGATTGAGAATTTTCACCATCATCAGAATTAGCTTGCTTGTAACGGCTCACAAACTCATTACAAGCTTCAATAAGTACCAAGTCTCTACTGCAGCTTGTATCAAACACAGCTTTAACTCCCAAAGACTTCAAAAACGTAGTTAGCTTCTTGAAAACCTGAAGAGGAGTGATCTCATAGTGAACTGCAAGGGAAGCTCTCGACTGTGGGGAAATGGACACAATCACGTCCTTGCCTTTGCTAAGGGCAGAGAGAAACTCGTCTAAGCTTTGCTTCTCAAGCATAACTGTCTCAGCTGATGTGATGCATCCACTGTATCGTCGTATATAGAAACCATTACATTCTAAACTCTAAAACTGACTCACAAGCAGTAAGTGAGAGAACTGACCTGCAAGCCAAGCAATCCTTGAGAGAAATTTTGACCGGTTCAAGCTGCTGTTTTGGAGCAATCACAACCTTCAAATACAAAATTAGCACAGAGAAAGACACTTTTTAGCTGGTGGAGATATATATAGGATCCATATCAAAAGAAGCAAATAAATTCATTATTTGGTTGAGAATGAAAAAGACTCAAGAAGCGACTACTTGAAGAAACAGTGAGAAACGAAAGAAAGCATGGAAATTTCGGACCTGGGGTCGATCAGACTTCTTGACGATGGGTTTTGAATCCTTAAGAGATATGACACAAGCTTGAGACGGAGCAATGAAATCGTTGAGATCTCCAAGCCTCAAAGTCGGTGAAAACTTCTCCGACATATCGCCTTCTATTCAAAACTTAAAAATCCAAATTTTGGAGGCGGAGAAACTAGTAGAACCAAAACAAAGGAACAAAGATTAGGGATTGGTGTTGGAGAAGCTGAGGGTATCGGAAAATCAGAACGGCGTCGAAGGTGGAACCTGGGTTTGATCAAAACGACGAGAGAGAGAGAGAGAGAGAGACCCAAATTACCTAAAAGGGGTTGAAAAGTCAAAACATAAAATTCATAACGTGCCTAGTAATAATCTTATTGTGTAAGGGCCTAAATGCAAATAGAGTTGCAATATAGGTCGGTGTAAAAGAGAAACGCAATGAGGTTGGTGCTTTGCTCACCAATAAGTCTCGTTTTTGATCACAGCATATGGCACATTGACACAGAACATCAATAGTCTAGTTTTACATATTGTTTGTCACATGTAACATTATCAAGAAGAAGAAGAAGAAGAAGCAACATAGGCCTAACACTTTTTTTACTATTTGTTTTTTTTAACAACAACATTCAACACTAGTAAAGAAGACAAAGCGCATTCACTTCACCAAGGTGTGGTTCTGCGGTCTTTGGTGGCACCGTACAAGCGGAAGAGACTAAAAGCAGAAATGCAGGAGACGAAAACCATAGCAATGGAGGCTAACAAGGCGCTGGAGACACCTATAGCCATTTGGTTGCAGAACTTTCCATACATATTGCACACTCTCATCCATTGCAAATCTTCCTCTCCTTCTCTTGCAATCACACCAGACTCTGCTGTTGCTGCAATGGCTGCCACATTCAAGTACGCCATCGCCTGCTCATTCAAATCACACCATTACATTGCAACTACACTCTTAAATGCTCAACAAAACTTCATCTCTTAGATTCAATTCCAAATGCAAACAAACAAGCAACATTCCTACCTAAGTTAATTCAATTCTGATATCCAACCAAACCCATTTAATGCTTGGAGACTTTTCAACATAGTACCCTACTTTTCTCTAATATGACCCGAGATCTCAAAATAACAAAGCCAAACCCCAAAAATCTCACATCCAATTCACTAATTTTGGCAAACAAAATGTATGGAAAAAGAGAAACACAAACTACACTCACCTGATCACCAGAGAAAAAGGCCCAAGCAAGAGACTTACTAAACAAAACCCGTCCTTTCATCGTACCCACCACGCAACGAACTGATTGCAACAAAGAATAAACCGCAGCTATCCCATTAGCCACCACCAAGAACCTGCATCAATCAATCCCCACATGAATCAACAAAAAGTTACAAACTTTGCCATCTATCTCAAGTGAAAGTACTAAAATCGAAAAGGGTTTTTGATGAGCTTACACAACCGCCTTCATGTCGGTGTACTTGGCTGTCTTCTTGATAGTGAAGATTAGCTTGACCTCAGTGTCAGTAACTACCAGAATAAGCGCGAGGAGAGCGAAGACACTGATGGAGCATCGTAAGAGCAGTTCCGTTAACCTCATTCTTCGATCAATTAGCTTCATCTTGCTTCTGTGGTCTCCAGGACAGATTTCGGCCACCAAATAACTCACTTGTACTCTTAAAAATCCGATTTTGGACAAGACAAGAAGACAGGTTCCGTAGAGAGACTAAAGAGTAATAGTGTCCACACTCGGCTTAAGGCTTTAAATAGAGAAGCTTCATGCTTTTACTTCACATCGCTTTGGGTCCCTGTGCCATTATTGAAAAATATCACCAAAATTGAGTGTGTGTTAACGAATAAGTTTGCTACTAGTTTTGTGTATATTAAGGCTTGACAAATTAGTTTTTAGATTCAACTTCCATTTGTTTTTTTAATATCCGTTATAGTCGAAAGAAAAAGTATATTTTTTATTTAATCTAAAACGAGACAAATCACAAATACCAATCAATATTTAAAAATGTCGATTATATATGTTCCGATCCGTAAGGTAATCAAATTCTAGTTACTAAAAGCCCCACAAATATTGAGATTAAAAAGAAATTGATTACCTTACGGATATTACTCTTTTGAGAAAGAAAAAAAAAAGTAGTAAGAGTTTTCTAAGAAAACCATAAGAAAAGTATGAAAACCTTATATTAATTATAAATATAATAGGTTACTATACATTTATACTAGAGGTTGAAGTGAATTGTTATTAGTTATTGTTATCATTTTCTTCAAAAAAAATTCTATTACTACCGTCTTAATTTTTCACATTTTCATTTTTACTATTTTTAAGAAAAAAAACAAGATGAATTCACTTGATAGTTCATATTGAGAATACTTTTTCCTTAAAATTTTATGGTTTTCTGTTTTCAGTTTTTTAGCGGAGCAAATTTGATTTATGAAACTTTCTTGGAATTCAACTTTCTCTCAAGTAAAACGGATCACATAATTAGTTATTCGACAAATACGGAGCAGATTACGGATACTTATTTCTTACATGAAATTTCTAGTAAACTCAATTTATCTTCACAATGATCTCATGTTGTTGTTTTAGAGTAAACTTTAATATGCTATTGAATTAGGGTGATACTAGTATTAAGTCCCCTGCTATGCAGGGGCACCATCTGTTTTAAATTTAATTATGTTAATAAAAATGAAAATTTAATTATTTTTTGGGTTGTGTATGAAAATTATAAACTGTAAGTGTTACTTATTATGGTTTAACAATAAAATATGTAACTAATTATGTGTAATAGTCAACAATCAAACAAAATAAACGGTAAAAGAAGTTAAAAAGGAGAAAACAAACAGTATACGGTCATAGATCATATACATAATCTTTAATTTTGTTTAACCAAAATGTAATAACAAATAGTATTAAAAATACATATGACTGGGATTACAAAAATTCAAATGGCAAGAAAATTTATTAGTAAAACAATTTATGTAATCAAGAATTCTTAAAATAATTGACAAAAAACCCATAACTTGAACAGTTGACAAAAAGAGATTGTATCAAACCACCACCTGTAAGTACATTAAAATTTCGGTAACTCTTCAACCAAAGGAACGCAAGTGATTGATTTTTTTTTTTACCTCCAAATCATAACTTTATTAATATGAACCAAAAATTGTAATGTTACACATAGGGATATAGATACAAACAAATATTTTTGTAACGAAAAAGCAAAAAAGTTTAGGCGCCGCAATCCGAAAGATATTCTTAGTTGCTCTCGTCTTATCCGTCAATCTTGAGTGACTTTCTAGCTTGGGAAACATCTGTTTTTTGTCGATGTACCATCTTTTACGCTTTCGAAAGGCAAGGTCTGCGATCCATCCGTTACATCGCAAGACCAAAGATTTTGGAACTCTCCTGAAGAAAGAGATATGAATTATTGTGTTTGTAGAATAATTCCCTGCCTGTTGTTGATTCAATCTTCTGATTCGCATACTAATAGCATCATCCACCAACATCAACACCGAGAAGAAGAAATCACCGACCTCACTAGACATATTATGATATTGAAATATCCATTGTCTTCTTCCCCATAATTGATGCCATTCTTGTAAGATCTGTTGACTATTACATCGCAAGTGATTGATTTTATCTGGCCACAAAACTCTGCAAAAAGATTGAAATAAAAAAACAGATGAAAAAAGAGACAAATTACAATGTTATTTATGATGAAACTGATGAAAAGAGAGACAAATTGATGCAAAGGCAGAGGAGTTGATATAATCGTGTAAGAACATATATATGAAACTTATCATCCATCTTTACGTTCCTCTCCATTTAACGATGTGGTGCTTAACAATACATAAAAAAATGTGGAACATTGACAATTTCTCATAGATAGTTAAAAAAAATGCAAAATAACTCACTTTTGTAATTTCATGGGAGAATGCCTTTGTACCCCCGTCATATATTCTTCTCAACATGTTTATCTTACATTTTTCGTTCTCTGTATAGGTCAAGGTTTTGAATTCGAAGAAGAAAGACAATAAAGAGCTTAAGGTTTGTGTTAGTTTGCTATCGATTGATCCATTGGTGGCTATAAAACCAAAGAAATAAATAGATCGTGGACGAAAAAATGATCGTGATGCATGGGTGAGAGCGAAACCGTCGATCAGTTTAGATTTTCTGATTTTTTGAATATCTAAAATAAGTTTGAAAATTAGTAATTCTAATTAAATTTGTTTTAAGAATAATAAAATTGGATTAGAAAAGTGAAAGAGCAAAATTTAAGAGTTTTGCCACGTGTCAAAAAGATAGTGTTGCAGTTATTGAAAAAGTGACTGTTGATTTAGTATAATTAGATAAGAGACACAGAAACATAGTCCCTAAACCTGCCAAGTGGTAGAAAAGTTCTTGTAGACGTTAATACGTATATTATGAGATGCATTGAATTGAAATGTGCATGGGTTCTGATCACAACCCCAAAAACACATTTTCTAACATCCCCCTCCCTTAAAGACGAAAGTGAAATCTCACAATGACCTTTAGGATTAATTAAATTACAATGCTCCATATTTTGTCTTTTAATGTTCTAGGAAAATGGAGAAAGAAGAGGAAGAAGAAGAGAAGATTGTTATCCCGAGGTGAGTTTTAAATTATTAAGATGGGACTTTGGATGCCCACACACACATACACATACACATACACATACACACACTATTTAATGAACCCTTCTTCTTATTTATTGCACTTCCCATCTCCCAATTAGCCTCTACTAACCAAACCATTTCCTTTGGTTCTGTCTTATTAACTCTTACTAATAGCTTAGCCAAAATCCAATCAAGTTCTTTGATTTAGAAAGACAAGTGTGGATGATGTGACACGTGCACGTTCCTTTCAAGCCAAACAACATACTATGAATTTAATTGTTTTCCTTAATTAAGTTATGAGGTGGTTGGAACTTGGAAGTGGATATTATAAATTTATAATGCCCTCAAATTAATTGCTAAAAGATTCTCCATTAAACTCTAGTGCCTTTCACCAAGCTACCCACTTTTTAATACTAGTAGTAAGTATTTTTATTTGTTTCTTCCATTTTCGGTGATATAATGCTCTATCTTAATGAACCACATGCATTGGCATCGTGTTGAATAAGTACACGCGTCTTTTGAATCTGATTTTACAAAGTCGGTGTTGCAAGATAAAAATTGACAACACTAGAGGAATGGAGACAATGCGTTGTGGATGTATATAGTTCTCACATTGGGTAAATATTGGGCTGCTTCTACAGTAACAATCTGCCCAACTCTAGAAAACGAACTACTTTGTTATTGGTAAAATCCAATCAAAAACCAGAGAAAAAGATTCATATAAAATATACATTGTTAAGGGAAGATTAGGAAAAAAAAAGAGGCACAATTTCTGCCACGAGTGTCTCCTAAAAGGCTACAACTTTGAACTCAAAACCATCCAATCTCCACTCTTTTCAGGGCTGTGATTTAGAACTCCACGAACCTACACACATATTTGCTTACTCTTGTTGAGAGTATCAGCCACGGTATGATCCCGACCTGCATTTGCACCCAACCAACACTATCAATCACACAAGCCCAAAGAAATGGATTGAGAAGAAGGAACCTACCATTACATGGCCTGTCAAGTGACCTCCTGTTCCCCAAGATAACAAAGTCCCTGTGAAACACACCACACTCAGTTTTTTTTTTCCTGTGTGTTATATAACAAAGCGAGCTTTAAACCGGTAAAAGTAACTAACTACTCACCAAACGGTTGAACAAGTTGCTTAGCGATAATGGCAATTGGAGTCCTCCAGAAACACAATACCAAGATTAGGTATATCACAACCTAGAAACAAAGTTCTTAGCACATCTCAACTAAGGAGTTTTAGAAGAAGAAAAAGAGAAGCTTGAGCACACAAACTTAAGTTACCTTTGAAGCAAGCAGAACCTTCCCATACATATCGTATGAAAGCTTGATTTCTTTGTTATGCTGCTCCAGATCTAAATTTCAAAACGAGCATTAACAAATACACACCTATACCACACCATGATAATGCAGTGCTCTAGTAGGAATAATCTGTTACCAGATAGTAAAGCTAACTAACTGTTGCATCATATTTCTGAATTTCGTGAACTCTCCACTCACTAAGCAATCAATGTAGAACTAATAATGTATGCATACTCACATTGTGCAAGTTCTTTCTCTTTAGTAGCTGCTGACCTCCTAAGTTTCGCTGCTTGCGCAAATGTGGCTGGCCTGCAAGTCAACCATAAATAAATCTCTGATCAACAACATTCATATAATATTTTCAATCACTAAATGTGACAAATTTGACAACAAAATGGCTTACTGAGATAATACACTAGCCTCTCTCAAAAGCTGCTTAATTTCGGATCGTAGCTCTGATTCCCTCGTGTTCTTCGACCCTTTCTGAAGAAATTCCAGAATTCAAAACGATGATTCAAGTGGATGTGAAACAAGCAAAAAAGGTTTAATCTTTTTACCTTCTTCAATTGGTCAAGCCACTTAGATAGCAATTGGAAGGCGACGACGACGAAGAAGGTCAGAGGAGCAGCCAAAAAGCCACGATCTTCTATTAGCTTCTCTCCTTCCATTACCCTTTTGCTGATTACTGATTCTGATGTAATTCACCAATCCACTAAACCCAAAAATTGAACAATTCAAAACTCAGTACCATTCAAATCCGCAAAATAAAAGCCCTAATTGGATCCATCATGTTCTGGACAAACATATCATCTAATCTATGAATTGCACGACGAGGAAGAAAAGATTCGAATGCAGATAAAACGAGATCGTCGTGAATATGATCAGAACTTACAATCTCCGTCGTAGATTCACAGAAATTTCAAGCCTTCAAGCGGAGGTTAACGTCTAAAATTGAACGATGGGAATTTAGAATTGGCCTGAATCTGTAAAAGAGGAGGGTTTAGATTTTGATAAAGTAAAATTTTATACTCGTTTCGTAAAATAAACAAAATTCAAGCCCTGATGTGTAAAAAACAAAAACTAAACCCTTTTTTTAACAGGCTCTATTGGGCTGCGTTAAAATTTTGATAATATCGAAAGAAAGAATCGGCCCATTGAATTAAAACTAAACCGCTTGTTAATTTTCTTATAAAATTTAATTAAGCTTGGGTACATGAGTACATGTGAAAAGAAACAACAACTAGGCTACAAGTTTGAGTCAACAGTAAAAGTAACCAAATTTAGAATGAATAAGCTAAAAATAGTAGATATGTAAAACTACAAAATGGAGGGTAAAAAAAGAACAAAATGTGAAAATTTAAGAAACATAATGTATTCTTTTTACGTGGAGTGGTTGTAATGGTTGTAATGGTTTTACCAGAAATGGCACGCGTTGTCTCTAATCTATTTCAACTAATCTAAAGACATTATATGTTTTGTCTCATCCGATCCCACTTAATTATGTTAATCATCTATCTAATTGGGCTTATCACCAAATCAGAGCATTATCGATAACATCGCAGATACCGAAGCTGAAAAAAGGAAGAAAAACAATGTAAATCCAAATCCTAAACGTCGTAGCATCTTCAGCTTTCGTGTATGCATGCCATTATATTCCAATTACTTGACGACAAACTTTTGCTCCCACCACTTTTGATGTGCCTTTCAAACTTTGTATCCCCATTGTCCACTTCCTCTGTTTTTTCAACCCGCTCCGTTTTGTAGCTATACTGTCTCACTTTCTTTTTTTTTTCTTTCTTAGAGGTTGTAACAATAAATTCACCAATTCAATCTAATATCGTTTCATTTATTATGATATTTACATTCTTATCTAATATCAACAATCAAGAGTGATACATTATAAGGGCATTGTATATATTAGGTTTGCAAAATCCGGCTATGAAGTGAAACTCAAAACGTACACTTGCGTTTTAGAATTAGATCAGAAAATTTTACATTATATGGGTGTTAGAATTGTGTCAATGTATTTATTATATATATGTATGTTGGGATCTTAATTATATCAAACACAACTAATATATACTATATAAGACTTTCACGATAGAAAATATATAAGTTTGCATCGGCTTTGCATGAAATATATAAATATAGATATATTTTACTTAGTTATAAATTAATCGTTTCGATCCCTAAATGAGTAAATATATGATAATGTACATGCATGGATGTTTTCATTATGGGAAGGGAGCGTAGAGTAGCATTTCGATCGAGAGAAAAACGAAGCGATCGAGAGAGAATGTCTTGTGTAAAAATGAGTGGTCTTTTTCACAATTATTTATCAATCAAAACACATCTCATATATATATATATATATATATGTTGATATCATTATTCCCTAGTCTTGAACTCCATTTGTCTTTTTATCAATAGATAGGCCCACTTTTATATACTTTTTCCTCCTTGCCAAATCATAAGAAGTTAAAACTTAAAAAGTGGATCAACTAATTTATAGAAACCATTAACAACTTTTGACACTCTTCTTTAAAGTGTGTTTCATTTTTAATTGAATGCCAATAATATAACTTTAAATTCCACCGAGAAGATTTGATGTAGAGACAAAGAAGTGGCTCCATTTCACCATCTCCCAAGCCACCAAAACTCTCCTAAACCCTTTTGTCACTCCCTTTTCTCATATTCACTTTTTTCCAACGAATAATAAAACCTCATGCAAGTTTTCTTGAATATTGCAAAATACGAATATGATCGTTGATATATTACTCTTCTTATATATAATGGTTAGGCATGTCCCTGCAAGATTTTTGTAAATTGTAATATTTAATATTGAAAATTTATCATTGAATTAAAACTTTGTTATGCATACAATCAAATCAAACGTATAACAAGACCATCCCTTATATATATAGACCCTATATTCGCGGGGTATATAAAGTTTCCATTTCAAATAAAAAGAGCCCTTAAAGGGAGGTAAGTGGGGAGCATGAAAAAAGGTTATATATCTCAATAATCATCCAAACAAACCAATCCATGTGCTTCCCTTCAAACATTCTTCTTGTCATTTTCCTCCCAACCATTTTCTACTTTGGCCAACTTTTTTTCTTTAATTTGCTCTTAAAAATAAATAAAAATATGCAAATTTCCACTCACACATTATACATTCTCTTTTTACAATCCTTAGATTGTCCCTTTTGCCTTCTTCCTCTTGTTCTCTTCCTACTTTACTCCTGATTCTCTTCCTTTCGGAATTTCATCGAACTACTCAACAACCCTATATACTTTTATTGTTTTAATATTATTCTCATGCAGATTAAATAACAAGAAATAATATAGACCTTTTTCCTCCATATATAAATAGGCACAACACACGTAACATGGCCCCAAACCCTAGCAAGACTCTCTCCACGACTCATATCATTACGTCATGAGTTCAATAGCTAGAGACCGAAAGGAACAAATGGTGATCCAGTCTTCGATCGTTTTGCTTCAAGAAAGATTCAGACAACTTCAGAGAGCAAGAGAGTTAAGAGCTGAACGAGAGCTCCTAAACCCTAAACCTAACCACCAAGACAACATCTTGCAATATTACAGCGAACCCACAAGTTTCGGTTTCTTTCAGTTTCTACCTACAAACTCTCAAACATCTTCGTCACAGCAGCTCCTCTCCCTCTCCTTATGCCCACACTCCACCTCTGAATCCATTGAAAAGCCAAGCTTTTGTCATCAGTGGCCAAATAAAGACGACAAGAAGATGGGTGGGATTGATCGATACGACGACGTTGACACGTCTCTGCATCTCTAAACTAAAATAATTGTTCCTCCATCTTTTTGAAGTTCTAAAAATATGTATGTATATAGAGTTTGTTTTCGTCGGTATGCTCTTCTAAAGAGTCTTGTAGGTGGTGGTGATATGTATGGTTAAAATGGCAATCATATATATTAATTATTTCGAAGTTAATGATTATGATATATTTTATATTACGATGATAACGATCTACACATTGAGTTTATTGGTTCTTGTTTTGTTGAAATATGTTTATATATACATAATTACATATATCTCAACTTCACCAAAAAAAAAAGAAGGCATGGTAAATAACTAAAGATGTCGGAGTGGTTAAGGAGACAGACTTGAAATTTAGTTTCAGTTGGGCTCCGCTTGCGCATGTTGAAACCCTGCTTTTGCAGCTTTGCTTTTGTTTGACGATTTTTCTTAAAGAAATAAATAATTCATCATATGAACATATAAACCTCTTATGTTCACCCCTTTTATTTCATCCAATCAAAATCTGCCACCTATTAATAATAAAAAAATTCATTTAATTATAAAATTTAATTTGTCACTAAAACGAAATTATGTATCGGTTTAGGTTTATTAGAAAGGGTTATGATAGATTTTATGATTAAACGAGTTTAACTATCAGTTTGAGTTTATAAACGGATTTAGATTTTACAATTAAACGAGGTTAAGTGTCGGTTTGGGTTTAGAAAGTACGATTAGGGTTTAGATTTTTTATGATTAAACGAGTTTAAATGACGGTTTGGGTTTACAAAGGAGAATTAGGATTTAGATTTGTTGATTAAACGAGTTTAACTATCGGTTTGGGTTTATAAACGGGTTTAGATTTTACAATTAAACACGGTTAAGTGTCGGTTTGGGTTTAGAAAGTACGATTAGGGTTTAGATTTTTTACAATTAAACGAGTTTAAATGACGGTTTGGGTTTATAAAAGAGAATTAGGGTTTAGATTTTGTAATTAAACGAGATTATATATCGGTTTGGGTTTATAAAAGAATGGTTATGACTTAATCTTATTGTTTTATTTAGAAAATAATTGTTTTAATTTTTTTAATTAGATGACATGGCAAATTCTAATTGGATAATTAATAGGGGTGAATGAAAGTGGTTCGTGAACCCAAGAATTGTTCAAATTCAAAACCTACTTGCATCGTATTTGATTCAGTACTCTTATATGTGTCAGTAATAATTGAGATAGAGAAAGATAGCAACTAAAGTGTCGACACTCAACTCAATCATATAAATTCAAGTACGATTTATGTATTATATACGAATTGTTTTTAAACTATATATTTAAATTTCTTATTATATTAGATATGATATTCTTAAATCATGTTTTTAGAGATATTAAAGTCCATTGTTAATCAAAATATTATATGAGGTCAGCTTTTAATTTAGTCTATATACATTGAAAATACTCCTCGTCCCAAAGAACATTGGAATATGAACACAATTGAACCAATTCCAAGTGCTAAGCACTAGCCTAGCATACCTTTGGTATAAGAAGTTATGTAACCTTTTTTAAATATAAATTTTGTTAGAAATCCCACAAAATCTACTTAACATTTTTGAAGTACAAATTTGCTCAAAACCAATTGGGTTGGGTTTTTTAAAAGATTTTGACCCGATTAGATTTTTTGACCCGACTCACTGGCCAATCAAAACTCTCGGATTCTTTTAAATGCGACTTTCCAAAAAAAAAATCAACTAATTCGACTAAATATCCTCTTAATTACATTCCTAATCTAACAAATCCTAACAATGGAATCTCTTCCACAAATTTTGACTATTATTATGTATAATCCATTTTGGTAAGATTTTTTCTACAAAAATAAACAACAATAATTACAACATTAATTATACGATTATAACAACTAAACATGGAATCCTAACAATATACTTTAATTTCTGACGATTTGTTTATCTCATTGTATCCCATTTATATGCTAAATATATTCTACAAATCTATTCAGTTTCCAAATAAAATTGAACAATATAATGTCTACATTCAATATACACAACATCAATTGGAAATGTCTAATAAATCAAACTATTTGTTCTTAATTTTGACGAATTATCTATAAAGCATATTCTATATATTATTGAATCAAAGATTTGTAAAGATATTCTATACTTTCTCAACACGAATTTCTTAAATTCTCTAACCTAAACGCCAAGAGACTATGACATCTATAAATATGTTTTCGCTAACAGAGAATTACACATCAGCACAAAGTTTACCTTTTAACACGATAAGAGAAGCATTTCCAGAAATCAATGGTTGCTTCATTTTCCAATCTCAGAGATTTGACATTTGAGACCTTACAAAGCCGCATGGTGCGTCCAAGTTTAAGAACCTGCATTCTAAACCTTTTTCTTATCAACTAACTTGATATATTGCATGTCTTAGAAAGCAAAGTGTTTTCTGGTCGAATCTAAGAATATAGAGGTAAGAGTTCGTATATCCTACTCTTTCAAACATTCTAAATGTTCTTAATAAGTAAGAAATCTTAACTTGATGACCAGCTTTAATGCTGGTAGAAAAATATTTTTATCTACCACGTTTAATAGTTTCCGGTGGATGAAAATCTTTACATTCCAGAGGTGGAAGAATTCAAAACAATGTAAGCATTTGCACTAGAGGTTTGACTTATTTGTATCTCCAATTAAACTAATTTAGTTTGTCTCTTGATTCTAATTTGCAGGCTCCAAAGCAAAAAACTATCAAGAAGACGGATTGAAAAAAAAGAAATCAAAGAGAGAAGATCAAAAACGGTAGTAAAACCGTAGATAAAACGAAAAAATCGAGAAAGAAACCTTTTAGGAATGATTGATGATGATACGAGAAGCCATTGTTGTGCAATCGGAGCTGCTTTAGCCGATCCCAATTCGCAACTGCAAATGAAAACAAAAATGGTAGGAATTTCGTTAGGGTTTTTCTCCTTCCTTTCCCTTAGATTTCTTCTTGTCGAAAAGTGGACTGTTTTGTTTGTAACATTGTTGACATGGCTTGCATTGAACCCAAGTTAGGTCACTTCCCGTGTCAGCGATGGCAAGGACTTTCGACGGAGGAGTACCGATTGAGATACTCATGAAGTATTCGCCGCCATTTGAGATCAACCCGGATTGGAGGTCGGTTTTGGTATTGAAACGGCGAGAGCGTGAGATTGAGCGGAGGAAAGCAGCGTTGAGACCGTCGGAGACGGTGTGGTGAGGGTTGTAAAGTGGAGAATGAGGAGAGTCACGGTGGATTAGCTCAACGGTTAGGTTTTCCCTGTTAGCTGAAGAAGTGGAAGCGAAGAAGATGGTTTTTGATTATGGAATTGTCGAATTATCCTCAATTCAATTTTGAAACAGTAAATATGTGGATGCAAGATATGATCCGATCTACAACTCACCAATCGTTGAAGAAAAACAGAAAATCGCAGTCTACAAGTGAAGGATCACTTCGAAGAAGCTGGGATTCAATGATGAACACGACCGAGAGAAAGAGTCAAAGAGACGAAGATAATTTGTTTGATTGATTATGTTTTTAGAATTGACAAAATGCCTTACATGTACCAGATTGTGTCGTCTCAACATATTGTACCAACACCATTTTATACTGCCGGTTAAATCGCCTCCAACGAACTCTCCGCCACCGTCAAAGCTAGCGTCTTCCTCCATCTCTCTCTCGGAAATAACCATTAAAAAACAAGGGACATGACGATTGCCAAACGCATCGTTTAGTATTTGTTGGGCTACGCTTTGTGATTTACATGGGCCACTTCCCACTTTCCCATTTCTATTGTAAATACTAAATACAAGATTTGCATATTAAAAATCCTATATATTCATTTCTATGGTAAATGCAAATCGAAAAACCCTATATATTCACTTCAACTGACATTCCAACTTCAATAAGGTTTTTTATTTATTTTTAATTATTTAAAAATTATAATTAAAATGTGGCATAATATTATTATTAAAATATTTATATATATAGTTATAATTTTATAATATGTTTTAATATCGGTGGTATATTATTTTTACGGGTTGGTCCAAAAATACATACTAATTTAAATATATATATATATATATATATTATGGAAACCATTTGAAAGCAAACTTTTAAATTGAGTCGAATTATATGTCTTTTAAATAAAAATATTATTAAAAAATAACAAAATGATGTTTAATTTCACAGGACGGGATTATATGGTGAGACGGGTTTGGGTCGATATTAATAGGAGACAATATACCACGGGTGAAATCTTAGAAATAATAAATCAAAATACAATTATACAATCTTAAAAACAAAACAAAACAAATACAATTTAAATTTTTTATTTTTTAGTTACAGCATATGTAATCCGCGGTGTACAATAAAAAATATTCTATATAACAAATTTATCAGTTTATAAATAGATAAAAAAAATCATATAATTAACCCGCGGTGTACCGCGGGTCATATCCTAGTGTAATAATATTCCTGCGATCATTTTCTTAACGTTGATCGAACTGATCGTGTAATAATATTTCCGCCAAATGATTAGACTGATATAAAATGGACTACATATGGGTTATGTGGAAATAGTGATATGATTCTTGAACTAAAGATCAGTGGTTTAGATGCCTATGTTCATAAATTGGGCCCATTAGAGTCTGTTACGAGAAAGCCCAACAAAGAAAATTTATGGGTCAAAGAGAAAAGCCTCTAGACGGAGTAGAGACTCTCAGCTACTGTTGAAATGAATATAACCTAAAGATAGATTTTGATCGGAAAACAAAAAACGAAGATAGAATCAGAGATTCGTAGATTTATCGATCGAAGATGAATACTGACATCACTGCCTTGGAGAAGCCACAATACCCAGTCGTTGATCGGAATCCTGCTTTTACTAAAGTCGTCGGCAATTTCAGCACTCTCGATTACCTCCGTTTCTCTACCATCACCGGCATCTCCGTCACCGTCGGCTATCTCTCTGGTCAACACACCTCTCTCTCTCTTGAAATTTCTGATTCTGTGGTTGAGAAATGTGCTGACTGGTGTTTTGGAATTGGCGATTTTGTAGGGATTAAGCCTGGTATTAAGGGACCGTCGATGGTTACTGGAGGATTGATCGGACTCATGGGAGGTTTCATGTATGCGTACCAGAACTCTGCAGGTAGACTCATGGGGTTTTTCCCTAATGATGGTGAGGTTGCTAGTTACCAGAAGCGTGGTGGTTTCTCCAAATGACTTTAGGTTTATTTTCTGGATCTGGTGGCTTCATTTTGGAATTTGAAACCCTTTTTTCTCTGTAATTTCTTTGAATTTCTCTGCTGTTTGAGGATAATATGTGCCTCTGTTTGTCTGTTATGACCTGATGATGATCAATAAGATTTGAGACAGCGAATTGTGGTGATAGATTTTTGTGATTGTGAGTGATGTTGCAATAAGGAATCTTTAGTGCTGCAATTAGACTAGTCTGATAGGTTTCTTTGTTGTCTAAGTATTGGTTTGTGGATAGATGTATCATTCCAGATGAAACTAGGAGCAGGCTGCATTCGAATCCCTCTAGGCACTTTGTCCTGGGAAGAATTATTGGTCCTCATTGTCTATCTAGCTTCTGGAATTTCCCTGTGACATTATTCTGGTGCAAAGTCAAAGCTATGTTGAGGTTTTTGTGGTTTGGGCTGTAAATGATTTCTTCTAGGATTGCCATTGTATCCTAGAGGTGATTGGTGCACTCAAAGCAATCAGATGTTGTAGCTTCTTCCTCTGTGGTTTCTTGTTGTGCAGAGGATGCATGTATCAACAGGTAAAAGTTAGAGTCGATCTAATTGATTCGTTAAGAAGATAGATGGGCTTTGCCTTGTTGATGGAATATATGATCTTCCTAGTCCCTCCTAATTTGTCAGAGTCCGCCAATGTTTAGACGAGATGAGTTCATCGATAAAGTTGTCGTCATGGCTAGGATCTCTATGTCTAACACCTCGATGCATCACACATCTATTATATTTTGTTCTGCCTCTTAATTTGGTCTCATTTGCATTATTTTCATGCTTAATTACTGCGTCCTCTCCTCACTTTCGACATAGTTGTCCAAATGTGTTGCATATGTAGAAATGGTAACATCGACGAGACTAAACTAGAGATAGGACCTTTGAATCTGGGCATAAGTCAATAAAAGGAGCATGTCTCAATTGAAGGGGTACCTTTTTGAGTTTTGACGACTCATTTTTTTCTAGAAATCTTTAGTTTTCTCTCTATTTCTCTTCGTATAATGCTCACATGTCATCAATAGGAAAATTATCATCACTCACATCGCCTCAAGCTAAACTAGTTTGGGCGTTCTTTTGGAGATAACACTATCTCTTCCTCTCACGTCTCGCTTAGATTCACATTTGGAGGTCACGTTTTGTCCATTTGTATCCCTTATGAAAAATCCTTTTTACACGGTAAAGAAAAAAATCTATACATTGCACGACTCATATTTTCTCTAAATTTGTATCATAAGATGGTTGTGTTATTAAGTCGAGCGAAGAGCCATAATCCTGATTTCAACTTAATATGGTGACAGAGAAAGTGAAAACTATTGTGTTCTCACTTCATTGATGTTTTCATGATGGTTTCCTTGTACATGTGTTTAGGTGATTTAGGAACATACATAGAGTTGGGTTTTTTTTTTTTTTTTTTGAAGGAAATACATAAAGTTGAGTTTGTAAAATTAAATTAGACATCCCAAAAAGCACAATTTTTATTGGACATATATTTAAGTCCAATTCCGGTGTCTTTTAAGATTGGGCCGGATAGCCGGCGAGCTTTGATCCTAGTTGGCATGAATGACATGCCTACTAAATCCAACCGGTTTTTCAATGAGATTAGAGATTGTCTTGCTGTCCACGGAAACCACACACAAAATCCAACGGTATAGCGCGCGAAATGCAGAAAACCAAATAATTCTAGAAAGCAAATAATTTAAATGGAATGCACCTATCAATATATTAGGCAAATATGATAATGTAATAATTAGAAAGCAAATAATTTAAATGGAATGCACCTAGCTATATATTAGGCAAATATGATAATGTAATAATTAGGATGTCATAAATCACATATGATAACGTTGATTCAACATTTAATCGAATAAAAAAGACAGGATAAACATTTGTTGAGAGAAAGAAAACGTTCGTCGAATCCTCATTCCTTAATCGCCGACGCTTCAACTCGGTGACGTATGTTCAGGTCAGTTGTTGAATCTCTTTCTCTCGCATCGTTTCAATTTCGTAATCGACTACAATCTTCTTCTTCACACGCATAATCGCTTCGTAGTTCTTATCCACTCTCTTGATAGCCGGGTTTTGCGAGTGCCGTGTGATGATTGATTAGGTGTTTTCGTTCGCCAAAAGATTTGTTTTCTTCATGTGGTTCTTGCGAAATTAGGGTTCGTCGGTTCTAAAACGTGTTTGTCAAGTAGTCTGAGCCTAGGGTTTATTGGTTCGATAGATCCACACGGAAATGTGTATTCTTTTATTTTTCTGTCCGGTCATGTCACGGAAATTCTGATTTTGGGTATAAATAACTCTTGCACCATCACAACTGATCTGTACAGATTTTTATCCTTATAAATATCATTGAATTCTGAGTTAATACAGAGTCATATGCGAGCAATAGAATGGAGGGAGAGGGAGTGGAATCGAGGAGCAATAGTAGGAAGGAGCAAGAAAGGGAAAGACGGCGTTTACGAGACAGAGAAAGAAGACAATCTATGAGCCAAGATGAGAGGGAAAGGCATTTGGCACGGCGTCGCAAGAACTACCAGCTGAGAAGGCAGAAAGCTGAGATAAACCGCCTCGACTCTCAGATCCAAGCAATCAGTGGAGGCAGCCAAGCAGCAATGATCTCACCGCCTGATTCTGGAGCCAGCTTGGTTGAGTCTGATCAGAGTGAGGGTCTCTCAATCTAACTAATGGAAATGCAAAAACAAAATTGTTGTGAAAGTGTGTATCATGTGTGTGTTTGGGGACATGCAGGTGTGGCAATACCAGTGGAAGAGCTGGCTAAACTGATGGGGACTATACGGCTGACCCGTCTGAAACATCTGGCGAGGACACTGAACAAGTCCAGCTCTAGTACTGGTGCAGAGTCAAGCAACACAGGAGCAACAGACGCAAAGACAAGATGTAATTAAGCTAGCTAAGTCAATTTTCTAAATAGAGAGAGATCTATCTTTGTTAATTAAGGCTACGTCGTCATTAATGGACAGGTGCCATGTCAAATGGGCTACGTCTGAGTCGAGTAAAACGACTGGTGAGAGCAAAGGGCCAGCAAGTGAGGTTCTTGTCACATTCCCAAACACAAGGTTCGTTAATAACTTGCAAAGTATTTAAAAGGGTTGATATATACTTTGGATGATGATTACAAATTAAGTCACCTTTTTCTCTCATGTTATTTACTAACTGCTTCTTCTTCTTGTGTCAACAGAACCTCAGCTTCACTAGAGTTCACAACTTGAAAGAGAACCTCATGAATTATTGTTTGTAAAAGTGAAAGTATTATTGTTTTGGAGACACATCTAAGAAACTGACCATATTTGTTTTTAAATACAAGTGGGAATACATCATATTCTTCATTTTTGTTTTCTTGTCACAGCCATCTCCTATCCGGCTTTTATCATTTGTAGTTCGGAAGAAGAAACGAGAGTGAGATATCATAGCTGAGTGATCTCTTTTGCTGAACAAGATAATAAGTTTGACAATTCATATGTTATTGATTGAGGTACAGAAAGATAGATGTACATAAAAGGTTTGAATCTTTGAGAATGAAGGATGACCAAGCGGATGATGCCAGAAGAAGTTGTCAGTTTATACAACATTACAACAATAACAGAGAAAATAACACTAGGAGCTAGGAGGTATCTCTAAAAATGTAAAACTTTTGATGAAGTTTGCTAGTCCCAATCATGGAGCTCTGGATAAGTATATATGGGTTATAAAGAGAGAAGGATGGAAGTTTACTGAAAAAGCATTTGTGGGGAGAAAAAAGCTAACATTTGTTAGATTCAAATGAACAACGGAACAATGAAGAGAAATCTGAAAAGAAGTTTAACTGAGATTATCATATTCATATAACGAAAATATTTAGTAGACATGTTTGTTGGCATTGTTGCATCCAAGTTGTGTCCTATTCTAAAATTATCATTGTACAACAACTGTCATGTAGCTTTCATAGCTCAGTTGGTTAGAGCACCCGTTTAGTAAGCGGGAGGTCTTGAGTTCAACTCTCAATGAAAGCAGATTTGTTTTTTTTTTATATTAAAACTCTTTTTATTTTATTTGATTTAATGGACCTATTCTTTGTTTTTGGGTTGGGTAAAGTATCAAATAATCTCGAATTAATTAGGGTTTCTGCATTATTTACTTGCTTTGTAGATTCCAAGTTTCATAATCTCGCATCTTCTAATTGTGTTCTATATATACAATTTTTGTTTTTTGTTTGCAATTCGATTTTGATCTCGAATTAGATTTTAGTATCTATGTGTCTTCTATGCTTCGTTACGCGATTTTTTCTCCAAAAAAACCAGTTAATTTGTCAAAGGGTAATATGAAATTGCGGTTGCATAACCCTAAAAGTAAACGCCACAAATTAAAATTAAAAAAAAAAAAAATTTAATTTCGGCAAGGCGAAGACTTAGAAGGAGCATAGTAATGGCTTCTCCGTTGGAAGCATAGCCGGAAAAGGTCTCATATTCCATTGCTTTACGTAGCAGTGTTGCTACCTTTACCATTTAGGAATGGCCATGAGACATACATTATTTTGTATATAGATTACTGGCTTGATTGGCAAGTGTTTTACAAATTTTACAAAGCAAAATTTTTTTTATAAAGCTTTGAAATAGATCCAATCCAAATTAGGTGATTGGATGTGTTTAGTTGAGATTAGAAGTTGATGCGGGGACCGTAATTTCTCTAAAGCTTTTGGAGGATAACTTGTGGTTCCGAAAAAAAGATATGCTACAAGTGTCCAAAGAACACCATTACAATGATTTGAGCTTGAGAACTATTAAACTTACTATTAGTACGCAATGTATGGATGTGAGTAAGAGCATCCACAATGGTAAACTAGGGTGGGTGTGTGTTAGTGAGATTTTATTAATAAAATAATGTAAGAGTTGAAGTTTAGAAATAAGGTGTTAGGAGTTGATTATTGGTAGAACCTGTTTCTTAGGAATAGTTTAATAATATAATTAAGTAATTCATAAAACATTTTTTTAAAATTAAAAATAACATTTAAATTAAAAACATAAAAACAAACATATATATGTATTACCAATATTGAAGGAAAATGAATGAATTACCAATACAAAGATCAAAAATAGAAACTTGGGTTCATGTTTAAACCAAAAAAGGATGATCATATATATGTATGCATACACACACATAAAAAAGAACTCGTAGTAATACAAATTACAAAGTTAATCAATTGTGACTGTCTAATAATAAAGCTAGTATGTTATACACATTCATCTCTGTGTTCTTTAAATCATTCATACTATAAGTAATCTTCCTTGATGTTCAATGCATTGCTGGAGTTTCCCATCAGAAGACACAACTAGTCCTCTTACTTTTGCAGGTTTCGTTTTGTGTTTAATTTGGAGTTTTGGCATAGTCTTAATACAATTATGATCATCTTCTGAGTTTATCTGTTTCTCCCCTTCTTCCAAAAACTCAACCGCAACATCTCCATCTTCATCAACCCTTAGCCGTTTCACATACCAACTTAGCCCCTGATTAAATACATGAGGAAAACTATAATATAAGTGTGTGGTAGAACCAATATCCAAAAAGATAACGCAAAGCTCTTAACTAAGAAAAGTTCACTACTAATCGAGTGAACTAAATAGCTAGACAATCAAACATTAGAAAATCAAAGTAACAGGAGAAACCATAGGAGTAACAACAAAAACACAAGTGATACCGAGTCGTTGTCTAATGTCATAGCAAAGACAATGTGAACCTTTTTAGAGGCTATGATTATAGTTTCACTTCTAATACATACATATACTCTTTATTACCCGCTTTCAATCTCCCCATTAACACAAAGACCATGTAACACAAAAACCATAAGTGCAAGTGCAGCAGCTCCACGCTTTGTTTTGTGTGCGAATCATACTTCAAAATCAAAACACAACAACAACAATCACTCACAAAGCTAAAATCATCAATTCAAAAACATTGAATCATTTGACATTTGATATTACTTATCAATTAAAATCAAACATAACAACAATGACTCACTCAGCCAAAATCATCATCAATTCATTGATATGCATGCACCTACCACACAACGCGTGCTCCACAACTTGAATCCAAAAAAAAACTCTTTGTGGGATATCAAAGCACAAGGCCTTAAACGCTAACTCCTCATCCAACTAATTGTTATCATTTGCATCTAAACCCACAATTCTTGAACCGTAGGCCACATTTTAACTTCCCTATCCAACAACTACACTACGCTAAACACACAAAAGCTATCAAAGCAAACTCCAAAGCCAATAAATTTTAGAGAGAATGTGAGATGAAAACACAGACCTAGAAAATTAACCCAACAATAGTTGTTCCAGTCTTGAGAAACGACGGAGCTTTAAGACCCTTCTGTGTAAGCATATCATTCCTTTTGCACAAATCGAAGCTAAACCCACCTTTTGGCGGCAAATCAACAGACGACTGCGACATTTTTCCGATTCACCACTCTATAAATCACAAAAAAACAAATTATCAACCAATAAATCAAATCAAATCAAATAGTTGGGATCGAGATCGCTGAAGGATGAGTAAAATTGTGTTGGAGTCACCAAAATCGAGAAGATATAATCAACGGAGACGATAAGATGAAGAAGAAAAGAGAAAAGCTAAGCTTATAGAAGAATGATCTTACCTTGTCTTGAAGATTTTGCGAGAAGAAGGAAGCTCGAATCGGAGAAGAAGAGCTCGATTTTGAGAAGAGAACCGATTTATTTTTTCCCCCACAACTGAAAATAATTTTGCAATTAGAAATAAACATAACCAACCAGAATCTCACACGTGGCACTAACATCCGAGTGTAACTTAACACTCGTGTTTCGCTTCTAAACGCACTGTTCCTTTATTTTCGGTTTTTTTAATAGTCACACCCCTCTAAAAGTTGTGCCACTGTGGGTGGTCTAAGTGTATGTAAAAAAAAAACGATGAAATAACATTTGTTAAAAAAAAAAAAATCGAAACAATAGGACATGAGAAGTAGCTATAGAGAATAGGACCTATTTACATTGTCCAAAGATTTGAGTTCACATCAATTATAATAATGTATACTTTCTATTCAATCCAAATTCAGACCACCATCTTAAATTATCTACAAATCACATTCTACCAACCAATTTGTTAATGCCCGTCCAAATCAAAACTTGTGTCTGAACCACAACAGATTTGGCAGAGTCTAGCACTGGAGTTTCTCCATAATCACCCAATATTTGACTCCACAGCATGCCTTTTCTCTCTTCCAGGCTTAATATGAGAAACTGCAACAGTATCGTTGGAAACAAATTTCTTTCAGCGCGGTCAAACAATGCAAGACAAGACGACATATCAGTCCATCAAACAGGACAGCAAGAGTCTAAGTCATCTGGATAGTAGTCAATATCCATAAAGAATGAAGTCATCTCGTGGACATTCTTGTATATCTTTCCTGAGAGTTTGTGAGACGTATCATCTTTCATGAATCTATGAACTTCCCCTTGTAATTCGATCTGGCTATACCCGGGATCTTTTTTAACTCCTGCGTTCTCCATCCTCCTCCTAACCTTTGAAGCAGCATCACGGAATCCACAACTCGCGTATCCATTGGCAAACACCACGTAATTCCCCCCATTCGTTGGATCCAACTCCAAAAATTTTGTAGCTGCGAGTTCTAGCAGTTTCACATTCCCATGAATCCTGCAAGCCCCAAGTAAAGAACCCCATACCGGAGCATGCTCCTTGCATGGTGACTTCATTACAAATTCGTACGCTTCTTGTAGCCTACCAGCACGCCCTAACGTATCAACCATAGCCGCATAGTGTTGTCCCTCAGGTTCAATCCCGTAATCTCTCCTCATAGAATTGAAATGCTCCCAACCTTTATCAACTAAACCTCCATGGTTACACGCAGTGAGAACCACCAAAAATGTAACCGGATTTGGTCTACAACCTTCTTCCTTCATTTTATCAAAACATTTTAACACCTCTGAAACTTTTCCGTGATATCCATAGCCAGACATCAATGAGGTCCACGTAATCACATTTCTAGTGGACAATTGATCAAATACTTTGTGGCCATCAGAGAAGCTGCTGCATTTAAAGTACATATCAACTAGGGCACTATCAACTATAATGTTCGACTTAATATGTCTCTTTATCAGCACAGCGTGAGCTCTCTTTCCGTGTTCCAACGATGCTAACGCAGAACAAGCTCTAAACACTGAAGCAAAAGTATACTGATCAGGAACTATTCCGTTCTGTCTCATATCATAATAAATATAAAGGCCTTCTTGTTCAAGACCCTTTTGCACAAAACCAGATATCATCGCATTCCACGGGATCAAATCTCTAATCTCCAAACTACGAAAGAGAATCCCAGCGGTTTGAAGATCCCCTGATAAGGCGTAAAGTATCAACAACTTAACTTTCAAATACTCATTAGGAGCAAATCCTACAACAACCATCTGAGCATGAATCCGTTTCCCTTTTGTATATTCCTTCCTTTGTTTACATTCCTGCAACAGCACAGCATAAGTCTCGGGCTCGACTTGCAACCCGCTACGCCATAACAACCCAACAGCTTCTTTCAATCTCCCAGTAACACACAGACCCTTTAATGTCTTATCTAACTTCTCTTTCTTTCTCTGATTCTCCACCTGAAAGCTAAAACATGTTACATGTGAACCAAACTTTGATCTTTCAATGAAAAGCTTCAGACTTTACAACCTCATAAGAGATGATCATAGCAGAATTATAAAAAGGTTCAGTTTTGATACATTTCAAACCAAAATCAGGAAAATAAATTTCGAAATTAAGATAGGGTTTGAGCAGAGAAACCTGCCAATTCTCCTCTCCGCTAGCATCCGGCGTAGGATAGTCGTCGCATTGCCGGAAAACATAGGACCGGAAGCCGACGACTGAGAGGCCTCTGTTTGTAATTTCTGAGAGTAAACCATGGCAAGTTTATTCAGAGAGAAGCAGAGAATCGGAGAGTGGGATTTGTGAGACAGAGAAGAAGAGATTAACGTTTTCATTCTCAGAAAACGAACATTACCCTCCGATGGAGAAATTGTAACTTCAATTAAAGTTCTCGAATTTAGGGTTCAAGAACTGTGGAAAGGGTTTAACTTTGTAAATATGTTTGATATAAATGTTTGTGTCGTTAGTCAGCAGATAGTCAAGATGGCCGAGTTGGTCTAAGGCGCCAGTTTCAGGTACTGGTCCGAAAGGGCGTGGGTTCAAATCCCACTCTTGACATATTTCTTTTGTTTTGTCATATTACTTTCTTTTTTTTTCAATTTATATGAGAAACATAAATAGAAAATATTTATCAAAAGTCAACTTTAAATAAAGAAATAAAATAAATGTGTTATGCAACCATACAAATTCATTGCACATTAAGCAATGCAATGCAAGTTATGCAACCATTCAAATTCATTGCACATTAACCATTTAAATTTACTTACTTACTTTTAAGTAAATTCATTGCACATTAAGCAATGAAAGTTATGCAACCATTCAAATATGTTAACATGTTTGACAGAAAAAAAAATAGAAGACAAGTGAAAGAGAGAAGATGATAAGAGAGAACAAAAGAGGAAGACATACGAATAATTAAGCTAACACAACTTTAGGAGATGGTTTTTTAAAAAAAGACAGGTAATTCAATTTTTCGTGTTTGGCTAGCTTAAAAATAGCACATCTGTGTTTGAAATATGTTGATGAAGTTCCTCGTGCGAAGACTTTTCTTCCAACTTGAAATTTTGATATAAACTTATGTTTCTCATTTACCAATAATAGCCAGATCCAACTGTTACAGTTATTAACTAACACAACTTTAGGACATACAGTTTTTGTTTTGACTAATGGGTTTTTGAGAAGAAAACACAACCACTAAACGTAACCATTTTCCAGTGAATCATTCTTATCCTTAATTATTGGATATTTAGTTAGACCACTTGTTTTAGCATCAAGTTGTCACTGTTAACTTTTTTTTCTTCTTCTAAATTTAGCATTTCAATCTGAGTTTATTCTCTATAAATACAGTTTCGCAAATCCATAAGACATTCATTCTTGTTTTGTTTCAAAGTGTTAACTAAAACAGTATTCAGAGAAAAATATTTGTTTACTCGATCGTGATTTGGGAAAACATATTCAGAGTGTTATTTGCCCAGGTAAAAAAATTTCCCTACTCTGTAAAAATCTGGCTGATGTAATTTGAAGATATCATCATCACATCTTTCAAAATTTTCCCTGCTTTATTTTTTCTTGATTACCAAAAAACAAATCATATTTCTGACAAATGCATGCGTTAGGATTTAGATTGGCTCATATTTTATGGTTTGGAAATTAAATTTAGTATTTATCCATAAGATTATCTTCTCGGTAATCTCTTGAAAGAGATAATCATGAAGTATGGCAGTAAATCACAGAGATTAGTCATCTCTCCTTTTTACTTTTTACCCAGAATCTCGTGAAATTCGGAACTAACCATCGTAGATTAATACGAGATGGTCAAAAGTAATTAAGCCATATGGGTCCCACTTAATCAACTTTATAATTAAGAGAATCTTATCCAAATTCATCTCATCTTATATCCTTTTATCTCCTCGTATCACTCTCTGAGTCTCTGTTGTGTTCTAAAATAAAAAACTCTGGTACGACTTGAACTTTTCCCTTTTTTTAACTTATTATGTTTTTTTCACTTGCCTGTCTTATTCGGTTTGGTCTAATCTAATTGTTGACTTGACTATAAGATCTGTCTAAATGGAAAGGAACAAAAAGAAAATCTTAAAATCTTTAATGATAGAAGATGAGGATTTTCAGTTCCCATTTCGAGTATATTCGTTTAATCTCTCTTTATATAATCAACAGTTTCTGGGTTTTGTTATTGTGAATCGCAGGTAACGATTGAGAAGAATCTCTCTTTTCTCCACTGAGAGAATCACATTCAGAGAGATCAGACAAGAAGAGTTAAAGAAACAATGGTGGAAGGAGGAATTACGAAAGCAGACAAAACAGAGTTCACTGAGTGTTGGAGAACAACATGGAAGACACCTTACATCATGAGACTTGCTCTCTCCGCCGGAATCGGAGGTCTTCTCTTCGGATACGACACTGGAGTCATTTCCGGGGCTCTTCTCTTCATCAAGGAGGACTTTGATGAAGTTGATAAGAAAACATGGCTTCAGTCAACTATTGTTAGTATGGCAGTGGCTGGAGCCATCGTCGGAGCAGCCGTCGGAGGTTGGATCAATGATAGGTTTGGTAGGAGGATGTCGATTCTTATCGCTGATGTTCTTTTCTTGATCGGTGCGATTGTGATGGCATTTGCTCCTGCTCCGTGGGTTATCATTGTTGGAAGAATCTTTGTTGGATTTGGTGTTGGTATGGCTTCAATGACGTCGCCGTTGTACATCTCTGAAGCTTCTCCGGCGAGGATTAGAGGTGCACTTGTTAGTACCAATGGTCTTCTCATTACTGGAGGACAATTCTTCTCTTACCTCATCAATCTTGCTTTTGTCCATGTAAGTGAAATGATTTAGTTTCAAGTTGTTGTGTTATTATATCATCATATGAGAAAGTCTCTTAGTTTTGATTGAAAATGTTGTGAACAGACTCCGGGAACATGGAGATGGATGTTGGGTGTTGCGGGAATTCCAGCGATAGTTCAGTTTGTGCTCATGTTGTCGCTACCTGAGTCTCCAAGGTGGTTATATAGAAAGGACAGGGTTGCGGAATCGAGAGCGATCCTTGAGAGGATTTACCCGGCGGACGAAGTGGAGGCGGAGATGGAAGCTTTGAAACAGTCAGTGGAGGCAGAGAAAGCTGACGAGGCAATCATCGGTGATAGCTTCACCGCGAAAATGAAAGGAGCTTTCGGAAATCCCGTCGTTCGACGTGGACTTGCTGCTGGTATCACAGTGCAGGTGGCACAGCAGTTTGTGGGGATCAACACTGTCATGTACTACAGTCCTTCAATTGTGCAATTCGCTGGTTACGCCTCCAACAAGACAGCTATGGCCTTGTCTCTCATTACTTCCGGTTTGAATGCTTTGGGTTCGATTGTGAGCATGATGTTTGTCGATCGGTACGGGAGAAGGAAGCTTATGATCATCTCTATGTTTGGGATCATAACATGTCTTATCATCTTAGCAGTCGTGTTCTCACAAGCGGCCATTCACGCCCCCAAGATCGATGCGCTGGAGTCAAGGACGTTTGCTCCAAACGCTACTTGTTCAGCATATGCCCCTCTCGCAGCCGAAAACGCTCCTCCCTCGAGATGGAACTGCATGAAGTGTCTCAGGTCTGAATGTGGATTCTGCGCCAGCGGAGTACAGCCGTATGCACCAGGAGCATGTGTGGTGTTGTCGGACGAGATGAAAGCAACTTGCAGCTCAAGAGGAAGAACATTCTTCAAAGATGGATGTCCAAGCAAGTTTGGGTTCTTAGCAATAGTGTTTTTGGGGCTTTACATCGTAGTCTACGCACCAGGTATGGGCACTGTCCCGTGGATCGTCAACTCTGAGATCTATCCACTCAGATACAGAGGTCTTGGTGGAGGAATAGCCGCCGTCTCAAATTGGGTGTCCAATCTCATTGTCAGTGAGAGCTTCCTCTCTCTCACCCATGCTCTTGGCTCCTCTGGGACCTTCCTTCTCTTTGCTGGCTTCTCCACGATCGGGCTCTTCTTCATTTGGCTGCTCGTTCCTGAGACCAAAGGGCTTCAGTTTGAGGAGGTCGAGAAGTTGCTCGAGGTCGGCTACAAACCCAGTCTCTTGCGGCGGAGGAACAAGAAGGGCAAAGAAGTCGACACCGCTTAAGACAATGATGATCACTTTTCTTTCTCTATTTTTACTATTATCGCTGCCAGTTCCTAATTCTATATTGTATGAAACCAGATTGCAATACGTATTATCAAGACCTTTTAAAACCTCAAAGAACATGATTCAAAGTAAAACTTCTTCCAACGTGAATTTTCCAAAAAAAAAGGGTTTACAAAAGCACACAGCAGACAGCTTTGTGCAGCCAAAGCAACAGCTTAATAAGTGAATTGCTTACTTTTGAGACGAGTCATAACTATCAATGTCAAGTGGTGGGACAAATTACTGTTTCAACGCTAACCATTTACTATTGTAGGACAAGACAATACAAGTGGTGCCAGATATGCTGACACACAAATCATCTACCAGATCCACCGGCAAAGACACAGATCCACAAACAAACACTCGAAAGATCCTACAATAATTGATCCAGATAGAGTTAAAAGTTAAAACAATTTGATCAAGAAATATCGATTAAAAATTGCTTAGTTCTTGAACAAGCATTTTGCCGACGCTACTACAAGCTTTTTGCCTTAAAAATCAGCATAATCCACCCCCACCTCACAAACCAGAAGCCAAAACCTGAATGCTAGACTTGTAATCCAAATAAGCACTCTCCCTTGAAACCCCTCAAAAACTAGCTTAATCATCAATACATGAGAGAGATCAAAAGTCAGTCAAGTTTCTGGTAATCATTTGATCTCTCTTTTACAGTCTACACAAAGACACTATACAAAACCACCAAACATACACTCAGTATATACATACTAGATTGATTTCAAGGGCTTGATGAACTTCCCTCCTTCCTTGGCTCACGAAGATACCCCAGAAGTCTTTCTGCCTGCACCATTCAAAACGATGAATCTTGATCAAATTCAAGCTTTTCATACATTTTAGCAAAGATTTAAACAAAGCTGACCCTGTTAATCTATGGAATTCACATCACAATTCTCAAATGGATCTACTACATCAGTGACTGCTTTTTGGACTAAAAGGAAAACAAAAACTAGATCTGATTCGAGATCTCATGATAAATCACAGAACAGAGAGACATCAATACTTAAGAAGAATCTAATCCGTAACAGAAGAATATGAGTGTTTTGTACCTTGCGCTTGGCTCTAACACTGACGGAGCCGCTCTGAGAGAGACCCACAAGCGGAGG